ATTTTATATCTTTTTTCTTTGTCCTTTACAGAGTTGGTGATTCTAATAGTTAGTAAAGAACTATTGGGGCAGTAAGATTTTAGCAATAAGTGTTAGACTTAGAGTAGTGAGTACAGATTAAATCCTACATGTTAAATGAACATTTGAAGATTGTCTTTATATGCCCAGTCAGCTGATACACCAACATAAAATTGCTATTTCATAAATATTCTTATTGTAGGTCTTTCAAATCCATAAGAAAAATGACAAAATACTTCCTCAATATTTGCTACTTACCATTAGAATAATCATTTTGCCTTTAAATATTGTCATCAAATGTGGAGGTTCTTTACCCTGAATCACTCTGATCTGGAAATAAAACATAATTAAAAAGAAGTCATTAAAATAAAGATAAGTAATCAATAATTAACCCTTTTGTAGTTGAAACATTGGTTTCATAAAGCCAACAATTGCTGAGTTAATTAAGTTACAAATTTGTTGAAAAATCTCAACATCTTGCATGTAATAAAGGCTGATTTAATGTCATAGACACAAACAATAGAGCCTCTTCAGCTTTCTCCTGATAATTATGTCTTTCATTATTGTTTTTAATTTAGTAACACAATATATTCATATTGGCTAAATATTTACCTCTTTATGTTGTGATTATAAGGTAATTTACTTAATGAGAAATTCTAGAACATACTTGTTACTTTATGCAATGCACCCTATTCAAGGTGTTAAAATTGACATTGTTGATAAAGCAAAAATCTGCATGAGGCCAGGGAACAAACTTAGATAATTTTGCACAGTCAGGAACATTCTAGAATGTACTTGAAGCGGATTTCCATTGGGTCATCTGTATTTTAAGGGCATAATTTTCTTGGTTTAAGACACCTACAAAAATAGCAAACAAAATGCGATATTTTTAACCAGTTCTTGTAGTTAAAAATATCACATTTTGTTTGCTATTTTTGTAGGTGTCTTAAACCAAGAAAATTATGCCCTTAAAATACAGATGACCCAATGGAAATCCGCTTCAAGTACATTCTAGAATGCCCTATAGATTTTATTGCAAATATAGTCTGGTCACTGCAAGGTGTAATACTTAAAGAAAACAAACTGTTATAACCCAATTCTTCTTTAGTTCTCCTTCTCTTTTGATGCCCCCTCTTCTTTGATACCCCATTTCTCTTTTGGTATCTCCTCTTTTACTGACCCCCTTTCCTTTGATGTCTACTTTCTCCTTTGGTGTTTTCCTCTCCCCTGATGTCTTCTCTTTTGCTGGTCCTTCTCCTTTGATGCCTACTGTCTTTAAGGGCCTTCTTCTCTTGATACCCCACCCTCTTTTTTGGTGCCTTTGATAGCCTCCCCTCTCATTTGATGACCCTTCTCCTTTGGTCATCTCCTGTTTTTTGATGTCCCTTGTCATTTGTTTGTCATTTGTTTGCTTCTTTTGATAGCTCCACCTCCCTTGATGCCCCTAGTATTTTAGTGCCTTCTCTTTTGCTGATGACTCTCCTTTTGATTATTACCTTCTCTCTTTTGGTACTCCCCTTCTCTTTCGATGCCTTTTTGTTGCCCCCTCTCATTTAGTTCATCTTCTTTTGCTGCTCCCTTTCCTTTAGTGCATCCTTTTCTTTTGATGCTTCCTCTCTTTGATGTCCCTCCTTTTGTTGGCTCCTCTTCTTTTGATACTGCCCTTTTCCTTTGATGCCCACTCCTCCTTTGGTGTCTACTTTGATTAGTAGTTAATTTGGCTTTGAATGTAAGACATTAAAATGTTATTTACTGAAATAACTAATAAGGATAAATTAAATAATAGCCTAATAATAATAGTTATAATTATTCATACCCAGTAGGTATTTTGGATTTTACAAGAAATTACAAAAATCTAATCATTAAAGGGAAGATATCAGTGAAACCTTTTCTCAATTATTGTATATGGTTAGTGTGGACTAGTTTCTTTCTTTTTTTTTTTTTTTTGAAGCAACATGTTTAGACTATTCTTCAATCTTGGTTGTCTATTGTGTTTTAGAATGTTTTTAAATACAGAGAGAAACATGTGCTTACTTTTTTATGCTTGTCATATCTGGTGTCTGCATTTATATTTCTGAGATTATTTTCTCCTAACCTTTTGAGTTGAACTTGTGAGCTCCTTTTAACTTTGTCCATACTCCTATCTCTCAGGCTATGTTAATGAAATTTCAATTTCATCATAGTTTCTTCTTGATTTATAACCCAACCCCAGCAATTAATGCTTCATCTTGATCTGCTGAGTTATCTGAGCAAACTATTTTTTACTAAATGCTTGTGAACCACTCAAGATGGTTACTGAGTGAGGTATGTGATATGAATGTAAGAGGAGGTAGCAGGAAATAAAGATTATGAAAAGAAGATGAATAGATAATGATTAACCATTACGTTAAAAAAGTTAAGTTTGTGTAAGCGATCTGGGATTGCAAAAGGAAATATTTGCTGCAAATTACTTCCACAATGCAGAAAATAAATCATTAAGTTCAGATTCGAACATCGGGGGGCAGAAAGAAATGGTGAAAACAGGAGTCGCAGGTACTATCTCACAAATCACGTAACCAGTCAGAAAAATAACTCACTCTCTGATAAACACGGTAGCCCAAATACACAAATTTTATTTTCTCTTTTGCTTTTATCAGCCAAGCATTTTTTTAATTTGTCAACAACTGGGAGAGGACACTCAATTTTTGCATATCAAAATACTTTTATAGTGACTCCTGCGACTGACTTGTTTCTAAACTATTCTGTCTTCAGCATGTCATTCGGAATACATGCCCTTTTTTTGGTAAATAATTTTCTTTTTTGCCACATTTTCCATTGTAGGATACACACAACATGCTGTCGCTTGGTTTGATGAGATAAGTCACCATTTTCTTCGTTATAGTTTGTAGAGTTCAGGGAATCAAGTATCCATGTGGGAGTCTGTTCCACAAAGTGGCAGTTCTTGGGAAAAAGCTGAGTAGAATTTCTACACTGAACTTGGAATATAGAGGAAATAAGGGTGATTTGATTTTATAGACATAGTATAGCAAGTTCTAGCTGTAAAGGTGAAATATGGAACTAAAGATTGGATATTATTGAAACATTAGGCATGGAAATAGCACTAGAGGAGGCTTGTGACTTTGCATCTGTGGGAAAGAGGTTGTAGGGTGGAAAATAAGTCACCCCTCACAGATGATTTTTTGTATGTGGGCAGATTATGTCAACATTCTAATTCTCTGATGTTGGTCTTTATCAATGATTTTGATGTTATTCCATAAAGGCTAGTGTATCCTCCTCTACTTCCAAAGAATTATTGATTGATTCTTTTTATGGCTTATCAACACTTTGTGGATTATTTAAAGTTGAAATATATTTCAGATTGTAGGAGGTTGCTTACAGTATTCAGTGTTCTCAAGTGGTACCCCATCTAAGTACTAACCGGGTTCAGTACTGCTCATCCAAATGATTAAAACATCCCATTAAAAAAAAATCCAGACAAGAACCTTTTTTTAATCATTTCACTCCAAGCAAGGCAATAAAGCCACTAAGATGCAAGGGGTTACTGAGTGTGAGAGAATATGAGAAAAAAAAACATTATTAAGAAGAGAGAACAATAAAAGAATAGGCATTAATAACACAGATGATAACTATTGAGTTTACATTTAAATTTTTGAAGATCAAATTTGGCTGGGAAGCAAGGAGCAGGAAGAGAGTTTGATGTAATGAATATGCATACACCTGGGTTCCCCCTCACAGTAATATGATTGGCTGGTGTTAGCCATAAATACAGACTGAGGTGGAGGTACATGGTCGACGCTGATTGGCTACGCCTATAGTCTTTGCCTGTTGCCTACGCCTATTACCTACAACTACGACGAGGACCAGTCCATTATGGTTACCTGCTAGATTGTCCTACTCGGTTACAGTAGTCCAAAACCAATTTGCTACTTCGAACAAATATATCCCTTTCCGGGACATATCAAAGTTCAACAAGTAAGAAGTGTAATAGAAGAAATTGTTAGCATAGAACTTGCAGTTACATCTAGCCATTTCCTTAGAAGCATGTAATGTACAAAAATGAAGATAATATGACCAAAATGTAACCCATTCAAAGGATTAAACATAATTGGCCAACAACTGGTATATCTAAACAGACCTTTGTAAAAATTTTAGTTGATCAGACATAATTCTCATTCTGTATGTTTAAACATTATTTAGAAAAAAATGATTAAAAAATTTGATAAATTATTAAACAATTTGAAAGTAATAATTACAAACAAATCATAATACTGACCTGAGTGGTTGTCCCTTCAAGACCATCGTCCAGCTCAAGAGTTTTTAAAGAAGCTGCCCCTTGTTCCTCAGGGCTGGATTCAATTCCCTAAAATAACAGCAAATAAATGTATTTATAGATGAATAAGAAATTTTAAAAGTATTTCAATATAAAGCAATTTTTTATAAATCATCTACCATGTTTATATAATGATTAGCAAAATACTATATACTTAATGTAATAATTGTATTATACTAGAGTCATTTGGAAAGTGTATAGGCTGATCAAGATATGAATGTAATTAGATACACCAGTTGGTAGAGTAAAAGACATGCAAATATATCAACTGATGTGTCTACTTACATTTATATCTTGATTAGCCTATGATCTTTCCAGTCAATTCTTGTAAAACAAATTAGCCTAATGGTTATTGGCGTGGAAAGTGGAATCTGCAAGCTGAGTTCAAACTCCAGCCTAGTCTATTGTATACACATTCATGCAAATGCCCTTGGGAAAAGTATGAATCCATCTCTTCTTTCCCCTAGTTATGGATTAAATAGCAGGGTAGACAGAGCTCTCGAGCCTTGGGTTGAAGCCAGTCTAGAAGTTTAATTTAGAATGGAGAAGGCAATAGGAAATAATTCCACTATCTCTACCAAGAAGTTATGGCAATTCACAGATAATAAAGGAAGATGTGGAGAGCCACTATCACTTACAACCTAAGGGGACATGAAGTTAAAAACAATAGTTTTCATTATTCATTTGTTATTAGTCATTTCCCTTTTCATTTTTTTTTAAATAAATTTATAGGTTGAATACTTTCCAGCTTTTAAAGATTTATAATCTAGTAGACAGCTTGATGAGAGTAATTATAAAAAGTCTTTCAGATCTGAGATGAAGTATTTTTGTTATTAATTTGTGATTATTTTTCTTCAACTTTTTCTTATTTTTAATCTCAATGTTCCTTGGTGATAAAAGCATACATGTAAAGTCAATAAATAGACTTTGATGAAACTGGAACTTACATTGGCACCTCATTGGCTGTAATAGTCAACAAGTCTTGACTTAACAGTGAATTTGATCCTAATGGAGTTCATCATACTTGTAGCCTTATGACAATAATATGTCACACTTATTAAATAACATCAATTTGTATTCTATATCCATTGAGTTTATTTTTCATGGACAGTGTCTTAACCAATTCCACAAAAGCTTAATGGTTAGACACAATCTAAAGTCATTGATAATCTTCTTCTCGTCTTCATTGTCAGTTGACTGACTAATAAGAGCAATACAAAGAATTGAATTGGAATCACATGGAACTTTAATAAAAATACTACTTTTTTTTATTCTATTTTCATTCTACTTTAATGATAAGAGATGTTCAACTTAGTGATGCTGGGATAAAAAAAACAAGAAAATGAAAATTAATTAAAGACTAATAATGTACTTGATATTATGAAAAACTTATTTATTTAACTCATTAAACAATAACTTATAAATCCACATATATAAAATGCAGTGTATCTATATATACAGTGCATCCCAAATTATTAGCCACTTCATGATTTATCGATATATATAAAATTGTATTACATACTTATAAATATTCAGACATCTATACAAAGCCTAGGAAGCTATCCTTTTTGTAAATAGGAGAGTTATTCATTTTGAGTGGAATTTTAAATGGCTGATATTAAATCTTTTTTATATTCTCTTTCTTTTTTATTGTAAGATTTCTGTTGAATAAACTTTATTGTTTAGTCATAGATAACATGTTCCATAATCTTTCTCTCCCAGCCCAGCTGCTATTGTAATGTTGTTGGGGTATGCCTTGTATAGATAGCTCTTATGTATATACTATAAACAAACTTTGTGGTACATCACTGATGCTGTTAGAGTCAGCTGTGGACAAAGAGCTACAAGAGAAGGACTGATTTTGAAAAAAAACACATATGTTGAGAAAAACTTGATGGTTGAGAAATAATTAAACAGATGTGATGTATTGATGTAAAAAGTTTAGAGATTTTTTTTTTTAATAATTTCACCCCAAGCAAGGCAATGAAGACACTAAGATGCAAGGGGTTACTGAGTGTTAGAGAATATGAGAAAAAAACTATTAAGGAGAGAAAACAATAAAAAACAAGAATTAAGAAGACAGAAGATAATGACTGACATTGCATTTAAATTTTTGAAGCTCAAAGTTGACCGGGAAGCAAGAAGCCAGTAGATTTCAACAAACAAGAAGTGTGAGAAAAAACTGTTAGCATAAAACTTATGGTTACATCTAGCCATTTCAACTCTAAAAGGATGAGCTCTTGCTACCAAACTAGTGCTGCACTTAAATTTATAAAGTCTAGGTACCATAGCAAAGAGTTCATCAGAACAATTTTCATGAAAGTTTTATAGAAAAGGTAGAGGGAAGGTACATTACAGTAGTGGGTAAGTGACTGAAGCTGAGATGCCAGGTCAGAACCACTAACATTGCAATTTTTTCTTTGGATGAGATATTGTTATACTTTCTATTAAGTTTTCTCATCTTTGTTGGTTTTATCAAAATATTTGGGCTACAGTACTCTCTAGGTGTCCATTGCATTTCAGAATCTTCTAGCAATTTTGACCAGAATGCTTTATTTGATCCAAATGGACATGCTGTTCTCATTTCTTACCTATTACTTTTATTGTTTATTCTGTGTAATTTCTATCACTATCCATGATAGATAAGGGACAGCATAACTGAAGGATCAAATACAATCTCTTCACATTAATATGTCAATAATATTTTGATATTAAGGAATTTAGTTGATGATGGCTTTCTCATGGTCTTAGGTGTCCTACAAAAAGAACACCTAGAGTTGTTTTAAAAGGGACTCCAACTGGAAAGAAAAATAGAGGCAGACCAAAATTGACCTGGCAGAGAATAATGATGACAGAGCTGAAAGATATGGGTTTGACATGAGAATGAAGCCTAGGCCAAAGCATGACAGGATTCAAAGAGAGAACTAACTGCAGCCTTGTGTTTCAATCAGAATGAATATGATAGGATTTATCACTATTCCTAACTCAGCATATCCCTCTTTATTCTTTTAAATCTGTACAAAGCCTGGTTTAGTATGACACAAGGCCAAATTGAGAGAAATAAGAGTAGTAAGATTGTGTTGCATGAATCTTCTAAATACCAGATTCTTTTCAAAATTGTCAGTTGACTGAATATAACACATACCTCCTGAATGGTTGGAGAAAACAAAAATCAAAGCATTGAAAAAAGTAACAAAGATGAGGGAAATTATTCACAATAATTGTATAATCTTTCCAATAGTTTTTAATTGTCATTTTATACTAAAGTTAAAATGTGTTTTCATAAAGAAAATAAAAGTTTTAAAAACTGAATGAACAAAATATAATGCATGATAATGAAAGGGAAATAATAATTTAAACAAGAGGAAATTTAAAAGTAGAATTCTTTCATTTTCATGAGCCTCAGAGGCATCACATGTGCTGCAGCCATAGAAGTAATGGTGTGCCTAGGGTAAGATATCCTGATGGAGCCCATCTCTCTTCAGACTTTTTGAATTCAGTTTTCCTTCTCTTACACTACTTGTCATCCAATATAAGAGAGCAAAATCTGTCCTGCTATTTAACCCATAGCTGGAGGAAGATTGATTTATCCTTTTTTCAAGGGTATTAGTGTAATGTGAACAAAGCAAAATTGACTGGAAATTTAACATGGCATGCCAATTTCACTTTTCATGCCAATAACAATTACAATATTTGTGCCTTTAAAATGTAAAAACTCATATAGAATGATAAATAAAATTGATTACTTACCAGCCAATAGTATATGAGATGATATTCTGTGTTCTTAAAATTATACTTATATATAATGACGTAGCAGTCACCATTAAAGAACTGACCATATTGAGCTTTTTCTACTGAAACCATATTGAAATTCTGCATTCGGTAAATCTGAAATAATAAAATGAAAATGAATTGGTTATCATCTGTTTTTATATTTTTTTTATTATATCTTTCTCACTGAAATTTTCAGTTTATTTTTTCATCAAATTTTCACTCTGTCTGATCTCATGCTAAGAATGTCCAAATTGTAGTTCTGGATTTCCTTTGTGCTGTCTTTGAAGTCTCAAACATAGTATGAGCATTCCACACTACAAGAAAGATCATAGTTCTAGATCCTAGAAAACTCTGTATGATAGTATGATGAATATTAAGCTAAAGCAAGAAGGTAGAATTTTAAAAATTCTAGGATGCATTGATCAAGTATTTGCTCTACTGAACATCATTATTAGTATATTGTGGAGAATGTTCCATTGCTTACCAATTGCATTCAATTCAGACCTTTCACTGTTTGCACTAAGAGTCTATGATCTGAAGAGTATATGGAATACCAACTGACAAGGCCAGTTCAATGTTCTTGTGGGTCCCATCAGTCTATGATATGGGGCCTTCTGAATCTATATGAGTCACCCACACTACTACATCTCAATTTTCATAAAGTAGTATTCTGATAAAATACAAATACTAATTATGTACAATAATGGGTCATATGCAATATAGGTGAACAATTTAACTCAAAAAATTGTAAATATATACAATGTATCTAAATACAAATTTGAGATATGTCATAATAGATCATTCCATCTTAAATAAATCAACAATGTTTTGTGGCAACTTTTAACATAAACTTGAGATTTTTCTTGTTAAAAAGTTGATTAATTTAACACATTCAACAATATAGGTTAAAAATAGTGAATTTTATATAGCGTTTTTTCGAGACTTAGCAAAAGCAAAACAAATTCACAGATTTGGATGAAACAAAATCCTCAGAATGATGTCAAAATCTGTGATACGTTTCCATCCTTTAATAGTCAATTGTGCATAGTTTAATTTGTAACGTACATGAATGTAGATATATGTGCTTTATTATTTGATATTTACTTAGAATATTTGTTTCTTGTTAATAAAAATTACATTTTTAAGTTGTTTATTCCTTAGATCAGCTTTTATGTAGTGATTCTTTTAAGAAGTGAGGATGCTTTTTTGATTTAAATATATTCACCTCAACTTCACCATCACCATCATCAACCATTCTCATTTCAGCAGCCAGTTGCCTGTTTTGGTGCAAAGACTTCACATCAAAATTTGTCTGGACTGTTGCTGTTGAAAAACAAGTCAAAAATTTAACAATGCAAAGAAAATATTATTTAGCTTAATTAAACAATAATAAAAAAGAATAATATTGATAAATTTAATAATCATTAAATTATTATAATTTAATAATGTATTATTAATTTTATAATTTCTATATATTTAATAATACACACATATATAATGCAATATGTATCCACACACACACACACATTGAGGTCAACACCTAGAATTGACAGACTGTTGCCTCTGGATGTTGACTTCAATGATCTATCCTTGATATTGAGTACTTTAACCTATAAATATAGCATACCTTAAAACTAACACACACACACACACACATATATATATGTTGTAACTAAGGGAAGGTTACTGAATAGTATAATCAAACGAAGGTTGGTAATGAATGATGATATTTGGAACAAGAACAACACATATAAGATTCGCCAGTGGTGCGTAGAAGAAGTAATCAACTGCTAGAAGTGAGTCAAGTGAATTCCACAATAAATATCCAACTCTAGACCATGTACAGTATTCACTATTGTATTTATGGGAATGGGGGCATAACCCATTATTGTCCATAGGTATGCTACAACAATATATATATACATATAATCTCAGTGGTGACTTCAAGGTTTGGGCTTGTCAGATTAGCCTGAGTGAGTCAACATATCTATTTCAAAGCAACAAAAATCTTTCATACTGTATCTTTTTCATTCTTAACTTCAGATGGATCCAAAATTAATTGTTTTAACTCTGTGCCCCAAAATATTGACCAAAATACATTTCATTGATATTGTTCATAATAAAGAAGAAAGAAAGAAAAACAAACAAACAAAGTATAAAAAGAATGAAATAAAATTAACATGGCTAGTTGGGCTGTGTAGATCTGACCCCTATCAAGCTGGAGATGTACTTTATAGGCAACATATTTCTTCCTTTAATTATACAAATAATCTTTTAAAAATCTATAATGACTTGTATACCCTGTTTTTCAAAGAACACATTTTTATTTCAACTTATTGTTTTCAAATGTCCATTTTAATGGCAGAATGTATCGATTGAAAAAAGGGCAAATTAAATTTAGCCTGACTTAAAGTAGGTGAAAATCAAGCAAAGTGGTAGTTTTAACTCAGCAACTGGAGGGTTAGGGTTAGCACTGTTACCAGGGTAGTGTTGAGGAAATATGATATCAGTCAGCAGTACTGATCATAAAATTTCACAGACAGATACATAGACACATTAACTAGGTTTATGTACATGCCCACAGACACAAATACACATGCACACTGACCCACACACAATGTTCCTGATTTTAAAAGGAAGACATCTATTCACACCCTTAGCCTCAGTGAGGGAAATATACATTTCTACTTTCTGATCCTGCAATAACTATTCCTATGTCTACCATCAGTAACTTGATAACCAGGCTATAAAGCAATAAAAAAGGGAAATGGGGCAATAAACAGACAAACATATCAAAGACTTTGTCCTCACTCTTTTTTTCTTACATGTTGTGGGGGGGATGTTTTAAAATAAATGTTTATATTTATAGAATTATTACAATTAATATTAAAATACCGAAATGTGCTTTTTTTTTCTTTCTTTTAATTTCATGCACAGAGATTTCAAATTATATTTTTTAGTTAGAGTAAAGTAATCATTTTAGCATCTAAGTTATACCAATAGTATATTTTGTTAAAGATTGTAATGTGCCTGACAAACATTGATGAGCTAGAGTCACCACTGAGTTATCTCTATAGAGTCCAGTTATTTCAAAAATAAATCTTAGTCACCACAATAACAAAATTCCAACAATTTCACATGCCTCTGTTGAGTCATATTTAAAGTTTGGGTTATTTCTTTCTCCTTTTCAGTGTTATAGGCATATTATACTTTGTATCCTAACCATTATCGAAATATGGAACTAGTTAATTTGGACTATTCCACCAACAATATGGTTCCTGGCAAAAGACGTTATAAGCCGACCCTTTTACACAAGATCAAGAGCATCATCAAAAGAATGAGATGGAAACTCTTCTTTAAACACAAGAATGAATATAACAACTTAAAAAGATGTTGAGCTTTATGGATTTAAGTCCCAAAAGACACCACCATGCAAAAAACAGTTATTGAACTTGGAGAAAGATCTATTCTTGATAATAGACAAAATCACCATCATAAAATTCTAGATAATTTACATAAATCCATTTAGATTATCTACCAACTCCAGCAATAAGGAAATATTTGATAATAATAAAAATTAAATATATAAAAGCTTTAGAACTAAGTAACCAGAAATTAAATTTAGAATATTTAGAAAAAAATCAGAGAAGGTAAAGGCATAACATTATATAGTTTAATCTACCTTTTAATTGTAATGTTCAAATGAATATGGGAAGAATTTTCCTAAATTTAATTCATAAGCAGTTTAATCATTCACCAACACTAAAAAAGATTTTTAACAAAAATAATGTTAAGATCAGCTATAGCTGCATCAGTAATATCGATGATCCCAGCATAACAATATTATATTAAACAAATACATGTCCAATGTAAGAAACAGAGCTAAGCTTTTAAAACATAAACTGTCAAAAAAAAATATCTGTCCCTTAAATGGTCAATATATGACAGATAATATTGTATACTGAGCTAGCATATATTCTCATAATGATGTCAAATTTTATTTTGGTTCCACTGAAAATCCTTGGAAATTTTGTTTCTGGTATAATCAAGCGACTTTAGGCAATATAATATACATAAGCAACACTGCTCTCTCTAAACATTTCTGGCAATTAAAGAATGGTGGTAATACACCTATTATCATGTGGGATATTGTAGCAAGAGCGAAAGCTTACACTGGGAAAGGCAACAGTTGTAATTTATATCATGTTCAAAAATTAGTTATCTTAAAACACTTAAATAACACTAGCTTATTAAACAAGAGAAATAAATTGATGGTTATATGTAGGCATAAAAATAAGTATATAAATATACGTTGATCCAAATTAATTTTTAATAAAAATTATGGCAGTTTGTTTTGTTTTTGAAAAAGAAGCAGTATGCTTTATATAAAAAATTAATATTCGCAACTTAAAATTTTTTTTTACATATATATATATATTAATTCCATTTATTTTAAATGCCAAATATATATTTTTAAAAATTAAAAACTGTAATCTCCATATAATATATAACTGCTTGAACATTGTGATAACCACAAATTTTTATTCAAATTTAAAAATACATAATGGTCAGTCTGAAGATTGCATTGTGCCTGAAACCCTGAGTCATGCTATCAGTGAGGGATAATATGTATATTTATTAATGTATACTTAATAGCTCTTTTTCATTACATCGAGTACTGTTTTATTATCACCAGCACTATATGTGTGATAATATATATATATATATATATATATATATATATATATATATATGAAAGAAAGTGAACACTTCATGCTGAAAGTCATTTTGCTCCTCAATAGTCTGAAGATTGCAGTGAGGCATGAAACTAGCAGGAATCAGTACTGCATTATGACTATGTCCACAGTGTCCATATTTTTAACTGCTATATCTCCATTAATTGAATTTAACAATATTTGTTTAGATGAACTTGTGCTGCATAAATATACCTTACATATATGAACATATTAAGGAAATCTGTATAGCAATTTGCTACCAAGTAAACTTTCACCTTTTGAATCATTGGACTGCAAGTACGCCAGCAAGTAACTATAGTGTTTTTTCTGAATACAATCTTAGATTGCTCTGTTTTTCCAAGCACTGAATCCTTTTCTTATTTTTAGCATTTTTTTACAATAATGTAATTATTTTACACCTACTGATTTGATTGATATTTTGTGTGTATATATATATATATATATATATATATATATATATGAAGAAATATAGTTTTAAGGTGTGCTATATTTATGGGATAAAGTGCTCAATATCAGAGATAGAGCATATGTAAATATAAATTTAAAAGTTAACATTGAAGCCAACACTCAGAGGTGACAGGCTGTTTCATGCTGGATGCAATCACACGTCCAGCATGAAACAGCCTGTCGTCTCTGAGTGTTGACTTCAATGTTCACTTTTATATATATATATATATATATACACACACATGAGTTTTGATCAAAAAGTATCAGGAAGGTTGTCATGGTAATGAAACTAAAGTACTCAGAGGGAATTCATTTGGCACAGACTGACTTTGAATGTTGCCATGTATACACACTAAGTTATAGAATTCTCACTCACTTCCATTGTTACAGCAGTGTTTGGAAGGAAAGTGTGTAGAGTGTGGTTGTATCATCACATCACAAAGGTTCTATCAGTGATCATGACTGAGAAAAATAATAATGAAATTTTACCAAAATCTTTGTGATACCTGTGCAGAGGAAGAACCCCAATCTCTCTAAGACCAAGGAAAGCATGAATGAGTCAAAGCAATGCAAAAGTGTTAAGAGTTTTCTACAAATACAAGGACATTATTCATCATGAGTATGCTCCACATGGTCAGCCAGTAAGCAAGAAGTACTACTATGATATATTTCAGCATTTGCAGGTTGCTGTTAGCTGGAAAAGGACAGAATTGCATGCATCTGGCGAGTGGCAAATACACCATGACAATACACCTGGTCATTCAGTGAAGTTTGTGCAGCAGTTTTTGGCCAAGTAGAACATACCCCAGGTTCAACAACCACCATATTCACCAGATCTCACCCCTTGCAACTTTTCCTGCTTCCAAAAAGCAAATCCCATATGAAGGTAACAAGATATCAAGATGTCAAGGCAATCCAAGAGAATTTGACAAGGCAGCTACTTGCTATTCAAAAAAAGAGCTTCAGAAATTCTTCCATCAATGGAAACAACACTGGATAAAGTGTGTGGCTTTAGAAAGAGAGTACTTCAAAGGGAGATTAAATACCAAATTAATATGCATTGTAGTTCTCGTTTTATAGCATCAGTCCTGATACCTTTTGATCAAACCTTATATATATATATATATATATATATATATATATATATATTAGCCTCAGTGAGTGCTGGTAGTAATAATAAAAAAGTGCTCAATGCAAAATAACAGTTAAAGTTTATACTAAGAATAATTAAATATATGTTTGTAATGGAAAAAAATATAATTATTCTTAGTATATATATATAGAATAATGATATATAAATTTTTATCTATTAAGAATATTTTTAGAGGAAAGATGTATGACAAAGTAGAAACAGTTTTCATGTGACAAATTTTGTTCCTTAGGACTTCATTAGATAAAGTTTGTTTCTGTTGATGCAAATACACATGCACACGAATGAGACACTGGGAATTTTAAATTTAGAAAAAAACTTTTTTATGTGTTTTGTGTATATAATCTAGCCAATTACATTTAGATTCTTTTTCTTTTTGTTTCCATCATCTTCGTTATTAAATATCCCACATTGTGAGAACAGAAGATCTGCCAAGAAATGTTGTAGGAACCTGGATACAAATTTACTGTGGATAAACTGGCAATTAAAGCACTTTCTAAACATTTTTGTCTTAGTGAATTATTTTCTTTTTTAATTAGAGTAGCATTTTTTAAGTCCAAATTGTGGACAGTCTCATCACAGTGAGCAACTAATGTGTTTAATGTGTTATTTTTTAGAATCTTTTGTGTTCATTTAATCTTTTATTTAAACTTTTTGAGGTTTCGCTGAAATAGTAAAAAAAACTAGTGTAAGATTATTTGAATTTTTTAAATGAAGCATTGTCAACCAATTTTAGTTGCATTTTACAACTACTCCAGAGCTTTAGCTTTTTTCTTTTCCTGATCCATGCTGTTTATTAATGGCTGCAAACTGTCAGTCTGATTAGTTATAAGAAAAAGCAAAATTAAAATGAAAGAAAGACTAAATAAAAATTAGTAATAATCCCAAGAGATGTTTGGACTATTTTAACTTTTGTGCTTTATTTACTCAGTAGGGAGGGAAATGGAGAATATCCCTGAATGTAAATAAAGAAAGTGTCTGCATTTCACAGGTTGCAGAGAATAACATCATCTGTGTGGCTCCCATTGTTGGGAATGGACCATACTGATTAATATATTAGCCACTATTTCCTTTCTCTCAACACAATTTTATGGTTGCTTTTTTTTTATAGTCCAGGTGGTTTACTGTTAATTTTGTCTTCTGATAAAGCAAGCAGAAAATGAATTGAAGACCTGCTTCTGCAATGTCCATCTGGAGTCACACCCTGATGCCTGTGGCTAAATTAGGGGAACTAGGTATTTTTTTAAACACCACAAACGTGTGTAGGTTCTCATTTTAAAATCACATGTCAAATTTTTTCTTCAGTCATCTAAACAACTTTTAGAATGATAAAAAAAGTCTCAAATTAATAGATGATCACTTAACAATATTATTCTTGAGTAACTGTGCTATGTATTAGATTGATGGTCCATACCAATACGGCTCTTTGAGGAAACTCCAGAAGGATTTGGTTCAGGCCAATTGTGGAAAAGATACTTGAATTCTTCCAATTCTGCACCTTCTACCACGCGGATAATTTTGCTCAAGTCAGCATCCTTTTTTTTGGCAAAACCCTGAAAAACGTTTAGATAATGTTTTATTACAGATTCTTAAAGGAATATTTTCAAATTTAAAAACATTTAAATTTGTATCGTCAAAGCAGTCAACAATTAATGGTACATGTCACCTCTAAATTCTTAAAATTTGTAACTGTCTTATCAAAAATGGGCTTCATTAAAATTAAAAAAACTTCAGCTATCATATCAAAATTTGTATTGAAATATATGGTTTAATAAAAATAGTTTTTTTCTTTATTCAAGACTGAATTTAAAATATGAGATGTGGCCAGAAATTTTTATGAATTTGTATAATGTATACAAACCAAATATATTGCACAATTTTACTATAATTTTTTGTTAGCAGCATTCTTTATGAAGCAGTGTACTAGCTCAGAAGAGCATCACTTTGAAAGAATGGTAGAAACTAGAATTTTTATTTACTTATTTTTAAAATTTAGAGTTTAATTGTTAATTTACAAATCTGCTTTGTAAAACTGAGATTAATCTTAAAATTATGATCAACATTAGAGAAGAACCCCAATTTTTTGTTTTTAATCTTTTCACCTCAACCAAGACAATAAAGCCACTAAGTCACAGGGGGTTTCAGAGAGTGTAAGAAACTGAGAAAAGGAGAGAAGATAGAAAGGACATTGAGAAGAGAGAGAGAGAGACAGAGAGAGAGAGAGAGAGAGAGAGGACATTGAGAAGAGAGAGAGAGAAAGGACATTGAGAAGAGAGAGAGAGAGAGAGGACATTGAGAAGAGAGAGAGAGAAAAGACATTAAAAGACCAGGATTCAAGGAGACAGATGTTGATTGATATTGGATTTAAACTTTTGAAGATTGTATTTTACAGTAAAGTAAGAAGCCAGAAGAGAGTTCCACAAGGAAGAAGAAATTATGAGGATAGAACTTAAGCTTCCATTTAGCAGTTTCAACAGTGAAATTATGAGACCTAACTGCCAATCTAGTACTGCGTTTAAATTTGTGAGGTTGAGGTGCCAAAGAGGAAAGCTCATCAGAACAATTATCATGAAAATACTTATAGAAAAGGCACAGGGAGGCTCTTCTTGTTTCCATTTGCCAATATATAGTAAGGAATAAGGTTTCAGCATCCCTGTGAGGAATTGTGACTGGAAATAAAACACTTACTATCCTTTTTAGAATTTGCATATCTGAAGATAACCTTTAATATACAAAGTTCTTTTAGGACATAAGCAATCATGTCTCTCCACAACTACCTGTCTTTTGTTGCTGTGAGTAATTTCTGATCTTTATCATCCTTTTTTGTTCCTCTTCTGTCATTCATTTAAATCAACTTATTAAGTAGGTTACTCACTGTTTCCTACTGCTCCTCTTTGATATGTAGTTTGAGTATTAAATTCTATTATTCCTGTTTTCCTTAAGACTTCCTCATTGCTCATATGTTCTGTCCATGGTATTTGAAGCATTTATTGAGAAAATCACATCTCTGTTTCTTCAATGCTCTTTTTTACAATGATGTTCACTCTGTATAAGGTCCAAGAGCCACACGAGGTAGAAGTTACAGAGTAAAAGGCATTGTTTATTGGGATATGGAGGGAAGGTAAAAGTTAACCCTAGACTTGAACAGGTTAAGATTGTAGTGATTAGTGAAGGATCCTCTTGGGAGTCAGTGCCACAACTGTCAGATTGCTCAGCATTCACTATCATATACAAGATTAAACAGCAGATCACTGCTCTTGTCTTTGTTTCTAAGGATAATTTTTCATATGTCTTAATAATTTGTTTGGAAGGTAATCTACTTTAACAAATGAACTTTCTACAACAGACACATGGCACAATTGGAATGAACATTCTGTTATTTTTACCATTTATTTAGAGTTTCTTTGAATTATTGATTCTCAAATATCTTTGCTACAGTATATGTTCTTTGTATACTAACACCATTGACTATTGTTATTGAATCATTCTCTGGCTGGTTTTAAAAGAAAGCTTAATTTCCTTGTTAATTATTTTTTCATGTGTGAAAATTGGTTGGAAGTACACACGGGAAAAAAAGGAAAAAAAATATATGCAAGTCCAGTAGGTCCAATCAGCAAAACAAATCCACAATTCTCTCTGTTTCTCAGTCTCAAATACGCCACTCATCATCAGAAATCATCAGGAATCCCCTTGAATGAGCATATTGTGCTTTTATGCACAAGACCCAGCCATTGCTCAGCCAATGAGCACCCAAAACCAGTCAATAAAAATGGCTATAAGTGATACCATCACTTCTGCCCACATGAAGTGTTGCCTGATTCACCTTCAATTTGAAGCTCATCAATTTGTCATCTCCACACTCCATTGCAAAATATACATGTGACTCTGGCTCTTTTGGGTCGCCGAGGTAAGTCTCCACTACACTTCATTTGCCTGCTGTAGACAGTTGAATCACTACCATGCCATCAACCAAATTTGTATTAATTTCTGTTCACATTCTATTACTTTTTGTCTATTTTACTTCATGGCAATAACCAATTGGCTAAACACAACCAACATTTACACATTTCACAAAATATGTGTGTTAAAAAACTCCCTGAAAATAGAAACAAAATCTGATCTTTGTATCAAATACTTACCATAGCATTATTCATAGCTTCCCTGCGTTCTTGATTTAATGCTAATCTGCCAATCCAAATCCAGATATGGCTTTGAGTGAGAATGATGTAAACATCCTGTACAAAAAGATTTTTGAAATAGTTAAAGTAACTAAATTTAGAGAGTTAATACATTTCTAATTAGAATACCTTAAAACTAATGATCTGAGTGTTTTGTTGATGTTATTCAAACATGATTATTTTATTTTCATGTTCAATTTAAACATTTCAGAAATAAAAATCATATATTAACTCATTTGTTCTTATCAGAAAGTGATGACAATATTTAAGCAATTTTACAATTGTATTGTACTAATCAAAAATGGAGAAATTTATCTTGTTTTATTCAATATGTAAAATCTTTTTTTCAAAACAATTAGAACGTTTTAATTTCCAAATGTAATCAGTGCATTGTGGGCATGATTATAATTGGTATTATTGAGAGTTGTACATATGTGTTTGTTGTAAAGGATTCTAAATGATTTAACAATTAATTTATATGTCAAAACAAAGCTTCTGTTAAAATTTTAAGTACTTTCAACATTTTTTATTAAAGTTATTGGATTTATTATAAAAACTGCTGTTTGAAGTTATAGTGTTAAACCAGAAATTCACATTTTAGTTCAATAACAAGATAATAAAATAAATTCATTGACAATTAATCTAATTTGTTTGAGGTATTTTTAAAAACATCTCAGTTGTAAAACAAAAATTTGTTTATTTGCTGGAAAGTTATAATGGTTGGGTAAACATTTTCAAAGTAGAGTGAATCCCCTTAATTTTTACCAAGAGTTGTAGTTGAAAATTTTCTTGAACAAAGTTTATTATTCAGATGACAAAGAAAATAGGTCACAAGTATAGTGAACATTATTATCAATCACTTTATTATCAATAGGAATATTGTTTGTACTTTTATGTATTTGGTTTACTGAGACTTTTTAAAATCTTAATGATAGCTTATGCTAATGTAAATTCAACCTATGTCTACCATTTTGACTTTAGTATAAATTGGTTCAATGCCTTTCATTTTTTTTATACTTATGTAAACTTTTTGACTTTAGGGAAAACCTGACACATGTCTACCTTTTGATTCTAATCCAGACATATGTTTGCCTTATTTACTTAATGTAAACTGGACGTATGTCTACCTTTTAGAATCTGGTATAAATTGAAGCTATGTCTACCTTTTTAACTCTCATTAAGTGCTATGTCTGCCTTTTCAGTTTTAATGTCGATTTGGTTGGTTGATGTTGTTTAGTGGCATATCAACCTCTATGGGTTATTCAATTTTGAAATCCAAATATTTAGAAAACAATTTTATGACTTCAACTACAGATAAAATGTATTGCTGGCAATTCTACTATAAAATATATTGCTGGTCATTTTGCTTTAAATATATATTGCTGGTATTTTTACTATAAAAACCTATTTTTATACTCTCATAGTATTTTGTTTTTGTTTGAGGGATCATTATTTACCCATAGCTGGGACCCTAACAGATGCTACCACCCTGGGTCATAGTGGACCTAGGAATAACAACAATTAAGAAATGATCCCATACTCCTCAAAATCTCCAATCTCCTGGTCAGAGGCCTTGCTGCTTGATGTCGTTTAAGTCTTAGTGCAAATTGAAGCTAGGTCTAACTTTTTGACTCTAGATAAAAAGAATCAACATCGTATGACCCAGCATGGGCTAAAATGTCTTTTAAACCCACCAAGCTACCTTAATGTTTATCTAAACAGCATAGACTATTAGTAATATTTGCCTAATTCTTTATAATATTATAATATTAAATGTACATATTTAATTAAATCCAAATAAATGCCTTTATACACATCCTTTCACTTAAGGAAATATAATCAAAACACTTAATGACATAACCAGTAAGAATTGATTTACTAGGTTACTTTGGTTTCCATGAAAAATTGCATAAATTATACAACTCCAGAATATTTTATTAGCATTATATTAGTTTACCTATAAAAAAAAAAATGAGTCACTATTTAAGTAATTTTGTAATTGTATTGGTTATATTTTTTATCAATATCACTGTTGCCATATGGAATAAAAATTCTGACTTTTAAATCATTAAAAATATCCAAAGAAAGTTAACTAAAAGCAAAAGAATTGTATTAGTATCTTGGTCTGTCCTACTTACTAATGAAATTTTCCGTTTTTATGATAGCAATGAGGCATGTTCACTTACTGGTGTTAAGCAATGCTTTCTATTAATATAACAGAATATGTCTTTAAAAGGAGACTGCTAAATATATAAATTAATACTTATATAACAGATTAGATTTGTAAGATTGTGGGCTACCTTTACTTGGTTTGCCAAGATACTGTTCATGATGCTAGTAGGTTAAGCGGCTTTAAAAACATTCCTGTTTTCATTCTCTTTTTTTACTCAGCATGCTGTAGTGACAACACCAAGCAAGACCATGTCCCAAGTATAGGTGCTATTTTTCCCTAGATAGCTGAATACACACACACACACACACACACACACACACACACACACACACACACACACACACACACACACAATTCCTAAATGTCTTCTTTCTTTTACATGTGTGTATTTTCTTTCCTTTGTTACTCAGTTATATAAAAACATCAGCTTGTTGAATTTTATTCTGCTTCCTTTCACCTCTACTAATAATGATCACCTGTCATTTACATGTGCAAATTTTGTTTGTCACTGCTTTTAGCTAAACTAGGAGCAGTAGCGCAACGAGGTTTGTTTGTCAACTGATCAAACATCATAATTCTTGGGGAAATTATTTGAAAATTGTTTATATTTGGGGGTTTATAAAAATGACTTTTTGGCTTAAAGTGTGGCTATCATTTGTAGTGTTGAAAGGAAAAGACTCACTTACCTTTGAGGTAAGATCACTATAAACCAGTGGTCCACATTTAACTTCTGAAACTTTTAATATACCTTCGTCATCTGAACAGCTGTTATAAATTAAAAAGTCTGTGTTTTTTTTTTATTCATGATTAAACAATAAAAGACATAACAAGCAAAACTAGAATTAATTCTTTTTTGTTTTTATAAATGTGAGAAAGAACAAAGGAGGACATAAAGCAAAGAAAACTAATTTCTATGGATCCCCAAAAATAAAAAAAACTGACAATGTCATTGCCCCTTGAATTCAACTTCTTACATAGTAATTATTTCATGCATTCTTCACTATTATCTTCATCATTGTTGTTTTTAACCTCAATATTTTGATTGATATATTCTTTTATGCTCTCTTTCACTCTAATTCCCTTCTACTATCTGTACTTGTTGCAACATTCATGGTTGAGCTGGCTCTGTCAAATGAACCCACCACATCCAAATGAAAGCTGACCAAGCGTAGCTGAGGTCGTGTTCATTCAGACATGTGGATTCATAGTAGGTGTTTCAGAGGGAATTTGGATTCCCAGTTGCATGTATAAACACTTTAGGATAGTGCAATCCAGTTTGAATTCTAGAGTTTTCTTCCAGATTGGTTGCCACCCAGTCTGTCCTGCTATTTTACCCATAGCTATGGGGAGAAGAGATGGATTCATACTTTTCCCAAGGGTATCGGCATGTTAGTTAATGTAATGAACTCAAATGGAATTTGAACTTACCTCTCCAATTCCTCAATCCAAGTTGCTAACCATTACACCGCCATGCCCTTTTGAATGACATGAAACTCTCTCCAACTATGTGTTAAATAGGAGGTTAGACTGACCTCTCTAGTCTTGGATGACAGCCACTCTAAAAGAAGGACAACTCATATTCAATACCATGGAGTAGGCAAAAGGAAATCACTCCACTAACTTTCATGGCAGTTCACAGTCAAAAAATAAAGAAAAGGAATCTGTGGAGAGTTATAATTGGTTATATCCTGAAGAGACATGGCATTAAAACATATCTTTTCCATGATGTCATGGTAGTATATAGATAATACAGAAAGAGAATCTGTGGAGAGCTATGAATGCTTATGTGTTGAAGTGGCATTGCATTAAAACAAATTCTCTCCACCTTCCTCAGTTCATCATCATCATCATCATCACCTTGACTTTTATAATTGTAGGGGGAATCTGAATGCAGAAGCCACACTGAATCTCTACCACAACAGTCTATCAACAGCAGACATCAGCAATTCTAGTATAGTCATACCTGTCCATTGTTTAACATTGTCCAACCAGTTTTGCATTGGCATCCTCTTCTACATCCATCTTCAATTGTGCCTTGCATGATAGTTTTGCACAGGCTGATGCACAGATGGTCTTCCTCAGTTACTATCAGTTAATTTGTATCAGTAAATCATTATCATCTCAAAAAATTCTCACAATCTAAAAATTTATTCTGGCTTTAAATAACCTTCAAATGGTTGATAAGCATAAAAAACAAATCAATCAATCAATCCTCTTTTTTTTGCGTTTCACCCCAAGTAAGGCAATAAAGCCACTAAGACAAAAGGGTTATAGAGTATGAAAAATAAGTAAAAGAAAAACATTATTAAGGTGTGAGAACAATAAAAAAAAAGTTGTCTGAAAAGCAAGAAGCTGGAAGAGAGTTTCACTGTTAGCAAAGAAATTATGGTTACATCTTGCCAATTCAACTATAAAATGATGAGATCCCAGTACATTTATCTCATTAGAATTGTGAAGACAATGTAGCTATAGGAGGGATGTAAATTTGTTCTTCATAAATGTTAGGTCCCTTCAAGACATAGGAAATCATGGCTCTCCACTAATTTCATTTTTTTAATAGTGCTGAAATACCATGAAAAATAGTGGAGTGATTTCCTGTTGCCTTCTTCATGGTTTTGAATTCAGAGTTGTCCTCCTAGTTTGATTGCTACCAAAAGCTCAAGAGCCCAGTCTACCCTACTATTTAACTCCTAGCTAGGTAGATGGAGAACAAATGTATTCATATCTTTTCCAAGTGTATCCATATGAGTGGATGTGCTGGTGGTGTAATGGATAGTGGCTTGAAATAAGAAATAGGAAAGCTGAGTTCAAATTTCAGTTCATTATAGTCTCTTATGCACAAATATCCTTGGGAAAGGTATGAATCCATCTTCTGCCTCCAGCTATGGGTTAAATAGTAGGGCTTGTATCTAGAAAAATCATTGTTATTCTCAAAATATTGTTAATGCAATATTCACTTGCAAAAAAATTTATTACAATCCAAAATATTTTTCTGCTTTCAATAACTCACTAAAGGTTGACGAGTTATAAAAAACAAATCAGTCAATGAAAAAGTATTATTGTGAATTGTACATAACAGAGTTGGTTGGAATATCTGCACATCTGATACAAATTTGCCCTTTCATATTGCTAAGTAAATTGATTTGCTTGATTAAGGTCCATTTGTAAAATACATGCATTTGTTGATTTTGTTTTAAATTTGCAGTCAACTTAATACCAAGAAATAGGTGTGTATTCCTTGTATGTGTGAGTGAGGAGAGTTAGGGATGTGGTTTGGAAGGAGGGGTCCCATATCTCTTTCTCTATGGCTCCCAACTAAAAGTGTATGCAATTTTTGAGTTAGTAATATTGAAATCAAAATTAGAAATAAGTGTTTTGGCCTATTTTACTCTACCAAACTATACACAACTTTAAATATAACTTTTTTGTCTTTGCTCACAATGATCATCACCACAAGAATAATCTATCATCATCATGACCATAGGTGATAAAACTGCTGAAAGAGAGATGTCTGATAATTGCATGATGTCACCAAGCATCAGGCAACAAGTGACAACAAAACATCCTAAGACACTCTAATTTAACAACCTTATTTCTTTCATGCTTTATTAATAAGATGTCTTCAGTGGCATCACCAACCCATCCTTTAAAGAACTGACCATTCATCAAGATCAAGCAAGAAGTCCATTCCCCCTGCTGCATAATATCTATAAATATATTCTCACATATGCAAAATTATGCATATAATATTCAAACTCTGAATATGTAAATATGAAAGTACGTATTTACATTTTTTCATGCACAAGTATACATTAAAACCTAAAAAAAACAAACATGCACTTGCTAATTTGTTCCATACACACATGATGGATAGTGGCTTGGAATGAGAAATCAGAGCACTGAGTTCAAATTCTACTCAGGTTCATTACATTTACTTATGTGCAAATACCTTTGGGAAAAGTATGAATCCATCTCCTCCCTCCAGCTATGGATTAAATATCTGAAAAAATCATTGTTTTTCTCAAAAAAAGATTATTGATACAATATTCACTTGCAAAAAAAGAATTATTCTTATAATCAAAAATATGTGCTTTAAAAAAACTCACAAAGGGTTGATAAACCATAAAACTAATCAGTCAACATACACACATAAGTAAATGAATGTATTATGGCTAAAACATTCATTTTCTTTTGTTTTTGGATGATATTAGCAGTGTTTAATTTTAACTAACTTCACTTAAAGAGTACTTTTGATTGTATTTTGACAGCTGTCATGTCAACAAGCTTTTTCAAAATTGTCAACATTCACATATTTTTGTCTATTGCACCTAATACAATGGATGAAAATATGCATATTATGCTTTTTTTTATTTAGAGAAAGGTAAAAGTGTAAATAAAATGTAATATATATGCAGCTTATGGAGAAGGTACTGTAAATGGTCACATGTAGGAAAAGTGGTTTGCTGGGGAGTTATGAAAAAAAGAAGCTCCATGGTCAAGTATACTAGTTTGATAATAATTAAATCAAGAACTTATCTGAAAATAATTAAAGTTATATGATATATCCAAATTGTGTAATGAAAATAACTTACTCTTGTTTGACTATGTTAGTTGCTTTCATGTGCAGCTCCCATATAAGTTAAACATAAAAAAATACTGAACCAGAAGTGTTATTCATATCATAAACAAAATAGAAATGTTTTTTTTTTCTATATTCTTCTAAAATATGTTGATATTGAATACTGAGTTAAATGCATGTGATCATTATTGCCTCTTCTATGTTCTCTTTCTTTCTTTGTTTCACTGAAACCAAACAGCATCTCTGATATATATTTTTCTTCAGACTTTCCTGGCGATCAAAGTGGAATATTCCATTGTTTATCAGAGGTAATGGCAGGTTGTGACATACATACTAACTAATGAAGGAACCAGCAGAAATATAATCTGATACTGCTTTTTTGAAGTTGTTAAATTTGTAAAGAGATAAAAAAAAAATGGTAAATGCTTTCTCTGTCTGTGGTAGAATGCTCAACTACAAAACTGAAGAAATTCACTTGCTGTGTTTTCATGAGGCGATGCAGCCCCATGAGTGGCCCAGGCTTACTGGCAGACGAAATGAATTCCTACATTTCCCTAGGGTATTTGTAAGCAAACAAATGCAATATACTTGACTGGAATTTGAACTCAGTTCTCCGATTTCTCATTACACCACACATGCATACTAGACACTTTAAAACTTCAAACAGGATTTTCTTTCTTCCTGCAGAATGATAATGTATGAATTACTTGAGGTTCTCTAATGTTGTAAATACTTACATATATAATTTGAGATTCTTTTCATAATGCTGATTGAGAGAATCGTCAGGAGACAAATCACTTTTATTGAGATTTTTCATTGCTATTGGTAGATGTTTGTTGAAAAGCTGCAAGGGAAATTGAGAAGTTAGCTGATTTGCTTTGAAACAATTTTTCAAATAACTCAGTTGCAAAATCAAAAACACAAAAGTGGCATGAGAAATAAACTAGCAGACAAATATTAAAATATAACTCTGCCTTTCTTCATTTATGAAGAAAAACAAGATAAACAGACATAACAGGAATAAAATATCACTGCTATATTTTTTTACTCCTATTTTTTTATCTTAATTTCAGTTGTTTTTATCACAACTACTCAGACTGTCACTCTGTAATCTGTGCAAAAGAGCACAGATCAGAAATAAACAACTCTCAGTGAGACTTGAGCATCAAAAGTTGCGTGTTCATATCACGTTGTAGTCACCATTGTAACAGGGTAGGTATTGTTGGAGTTGATGTATTATTTTCCCCATTGTTAATATTTGTTGACTGTAATGGGGTTGATATTAATGACAGAAATTAAAATGCATAAAACGTACAACGATAACAACGATAAAAACGTGAGACACATGTTGACATAAATAGCAAGAATTTGTGTCTTCTTTTTGTGATGTGAATTACAGAATATTCGTATGGTGTGTGTAAAAATGTTCTCAGTGTCTCTTTTGTTTAGTGATTACTTGGTTTGGTTCCAAGAATTTTGTTTCTGAGGATGCATTTGAAATCATCTGTTTTCAGTCTTCCTAGAGTGCTGGCAGACATTTGTTTATGTAATGCTACTTGTCTAGTCTGACAGGTACCCTAGTCTACTCTGTTGTCCTCTACTCTACTCAACTCTACCAACGCTTGTAGTGGAAGAGTCGTTTTTATAATGATGAGGGTTAGGATGATGAAATATCTTTCTTTTCTATAATCACTGATGGTAAGGTTATTTTTAGAATTATGAAATATCATCATCATTTTGGACCATAACACATCACTTTTACTTTGGAAAACATATTCCATAACAGCTGCTCTGTTACTTAGACTACAAGAACTTTCTGGTTGACAAAAGATAAAATCTATTGAAACTCATCCTTCCTCCTGATTGCTTGTCATCATATTTGATGTTATTTTGTTTTACATACACTAATATTAATAGTAGGAATAGTATTATTTTGAATCCTTTTTAGATGGAAGTATTATCAAACATTATAAATTTTAAACTGATATTTCTGAAGAGATGTGATGAAAAGCAACTAAAATTAACATGAAACAAATACAAGTCAAAAAATCACTAATGGTTAACAATGCTACATTTAATAAAGATTCAATATAATTTCATTACTATTAATAGTACTGCTGCTAAATTTCAGTCAATTAAGGCATTGAGTCCACAAGAACCACCTTGTCCCACCAGCTCTCATGGTCTTGGCAGAATGTTGGAACATCCTTCAACACCATATTAATCTGTTAGTAGTCCTGTCGTGAGGTTGTTGTCAGTTTGCAGATGGTGTTTTGAACTGGTAGATGATTTGGTTATGGTGGTTATCAAGTCATTACAGAACATGACCAAGTCAGCAAACATGGTGCTGAGCAATAGTGTGAAGGATGTTTGGCTGGTTCTTTCTACCTCTCCTGGCATCTATAAAATCATTAACATTAGATCTTATAGGAACTTAAAATAGTCAAGCACACTAAAATGAGGACACTGAGTGGTTAAAGAAAGTATTAATTACTGCTCCCATAAGTTTCACATGACCATGGCTATATAAGTGCCAAATTCAAAGACCCATCCTCTCTTTTTCATCCACCACAATTAGGCAATGCTGTTCCATCACCACATGCTTGGTCAGTGGTATCAGGAAGTTGAGTAATAACCTCAAGAGAAGTTGTTACTATGCAAAGAAACTAGTCAAGGATTGAAAGGGACCTTTTCTTCAACAAAGACTCTTAAAAACTTAACCAGATGCCTTTCCTCCATGGGAAGTCTTCAGACACAAATTCTCTGCAACCCCACTCATTTTTTTCTTATTTCTCTTTTCTTTATTTGTATATTAATTATATTTAAATAATACAGGTTGTTGTTGTTTCTTTCTCTTGAAAAGCTGTTGCACTGTTTATTTGAACACTTATGAACTTAGCATTTAAACTTGGGTTTGTATCTTGGTGCAATATCATGGATATAATTGCCACAATCTGGTGTTGACTGATTGAGAGAGAAAAACGAAAGTTTACATGGTTATATTTTATCTTGTGCCAACCAGAAAGATCTTATAGATCAAGAAGTACAACAGATATTATAGAATTAAAGTTTATATTTTATAAAAATTTCATTATTTTTATCTGATTCATACTGTTAACTGATGCTGATAACTTGAATAAAGCAACTAAAAATTTTTTTACAATGAGGTTCACTCTTTGCAAGGCCCGAGGGTCCCTTAAGGTAGAGGGTTACGTTAGGAGGCCATTTATATGTATAGGAGTGGGAGATAATGGTTAAACTGAGCCTTGAACAGATTAAGATTGTAGTGATTGGTTTTTGGGAAGAAGCTGCTTGAGTGGAACTGATGAAATATGGCGGTAATGTTCGAGCACTTTCTGTGGAAGTAGTGGTAGAGTAGTGAGAGGTTTGTCACATGAAAGACCAAAGAAAGTCAAAAATTAATAATGGTAGATAATGCATCATTTACAAAAGATTCAAGATAATATTATTACTATTAATTCTATTATGATAAAACAGTTTACAAAAATTGTAAAAAGGTTTTAATGATAAATTCTTCAAAATCATATTTAGCAAAGTAAACCAGAACCATAAAGAAAATACTTTTGATACAGTCTAATAAAAGAGGCAGGGTTAACTTATGTCATACCCTGTTGGTACTCCAATTTTTTAACCTTTAACACTTTGCATTATTAATATTACTTCCATTTCCACTGCATTCTTTTTTAAGCTCTTTCAACTGTAGTAACCTTATTGTTAATTTCACTCAATTGTTTGTGTTTTCTGTTGCCATATTGCGATATAGCAATCAGTCAGTTATGTGCCATGTGTGATACATGCTTAGGTGATCATGTATCTTTCGATACATAACTGATGAGGCAGATTTTTTCCACCAGTAGGTTGCCATTTCTTTCTGCGGTAGACCAGTTGTGATCCAAGGCTATAGAACCCAGTCTGTCCTGTTATTTACCCATAGGTGGGGGGAGAAGAAGAGGATTCATACCTTTCCCAAGGGTATTAGTACGTAAGTGAATGTAATGGATTCAAATGAAATTTGAACTTGGCTCTCTGATTCCTCAATTCAAGCCGCTATCCATTACTCCACCGTGCCTCCCAATACAATACAACTCTTAAATTTAAACACAATATTGTTCAGGGTATGATAAACTTTTGTACAGTAAATGAAGTCACATACAGAGTAATAAAGGTTAACTCAAAAAGAAGTGCTCACTTTTGCATCCATAGTTCATATAACAAAAACAGACCTTAATTTCATTCTGTTCTGCACACCCACTTTTAGATTACTGCCAAAAAAGTCATAAAACATCTTTTCCAAGCAATCAGAAAAAAGACCATGCAGTTTTCACAGCAGCCATTTCTGAGCCACTGGCTCTCTATATAATGAATGATGATTTCAGCTATAAGGAGAGGCATTAGCGATGGACCCCCACAACAGGTAGATTAACCAAGTGCTGCAAATTACATGACTGCCCAGGTCATCAGCAGCAACACCAAGGTGGTTCCATCAATAGCAAACCTTTTGATCAATGACAAAATCATCATCATCAGCAGCAATTAATTCTTGACTACTACTACGATGACTACTACTACAATGACTACTACTACAATGGCTACTACTACAATGACTACTACTACAATGGTTACTACTATAATGCGATAATTTGTGGAATATTTCTCCTATGAGTTTATTTCACTCAACTAAATATTTATGTTGATTTTCTCTATGTTCCTATCCCAAGTACTACCTTGTGTTACACCCCAAACAAACACTCAGTCTCTCACAACTGATATGTGATACCCTGGAATGAGTAAACAATCAAAATTTTTAACTCATGGGTGGAAAAAAAACTCTTTTATTTATCTCAACCACATCTTATCACTATTTGTTATTTAGTCTTCACCATTTTTTGTTAATGGTAAGGCCACTGTTATTCTTTTTTCACCAAGTTAACAGAAAAGTAAGTTCATTTACCTGTAATTCTTCTTTTGGTAAATTCTTCTCATCACCATCATTGACGACAATTATTTGTACCTTGCCAACTCGTTCTGTATTTAATTCTTGAGTAACTCGAGCTGCCTGTAAACATTAATAATATTTATAATAATAGAAGATAATCCACCTGATTGTTCTTTTTGTGCAAATTTTGCTAAATTTTAAAGAAACTGTGGATTATCCTCACATAGCTTTGCTAGTTTTACCAAGAAGTCATTAGGTGGCACTCTCAAGCAGTCATGACAATGGGACACTTTCTGTTTTCATTCTCTTTCTTCTCTTTTTTCCTTTTAGCATATGATAGAACTGATAATGTCAATCAAGACTTGCATGGGTATGGGGATATATTTCCCTTTAGAAAGTGAATTTTTTCTCTCTTTCTCACACACACATACACACATGCATCACCCACCCACACACACACACATGCATCACCCACCCACACACACACACATGCATCACCCACCCACACACACACACACATGCACCCCCACACACACATCACCCCCCCACTCACACACACATGCATCACCCACACACGCACACACATGCATCACCCACACACACACATGCATCACCCACATAACATCACCTCCACTGGGTGGGTCATGTATCCAGAATGTGTCTCACTTAACTCACATGTATCATCAAGTTTGGTGAACTCATCAGCAGCAAGAGGCTATGTGGAGGCCTAAAATGACACTTCAAGGAACAGTTGAAGACATCCCTGACACAGGCCAACATCAACACTGAGAGCTGGAAAACTGTTGCTTCAAATAGGCCTTCTTGACATAGGACTATAGGGGAGGAGTAGTTGGAGACCAAGACCTTTGAGTTCAACTGTCAACATGAAAAGGATGATGATCCCAATATCAGTGGGGCCAACTACGACTACATATGCAAAATATTGTTGCCACTGTTTTTAGCTTAACTAGATGTAGTGTTGCAACAGTTTGGTGACCACAACACAATTTCAACATTTTTTGTAGTTCCAGTCTTTAAGAACTCAGGTGAAATGTCTGATCCTTCTAACTATCAGCCTATTAGCTTTCTAGCTCTTTTTGGCAAAGTATTAGAGACTTTAATCAACACTGAATTAGTTAAGCACCTCACCTCACAGGGTTTTCTTTCAGATAAGTAATATTGTTTTCACTTCTCTAGATCAACTACTGATGTATTAATGATTATTGCTGAAAGAGTCTATCAAGTTTTAGATAAGAATGGTGATGCTTGGGTTGTTGCTTTGGACATATCTCGAAGGCATTTGACAGTTTGATCTTCTTCATAAGTTTGTATTTCTGGACAAATATTTGAACTGATTCAGTCTTATCAAATCATGAAATAAAAGTTATCTTGAATGGCCACTCTTCTACATCTTTCTGTATTAATGCAGGTGTCTCCCCAGTGTTCTATCCTTGGACCTACAATGTTTCTAATTTTCTTAAACAACCCTCCTGATGGTATCAGTTCTCAACTTGGTATCTATACTGATGATACAACTATTTACTCTAACCTTAATAGTAAGTCCAGTCAGTTCAATAAGGTAAAATTGGCAGTTTATCTCATAAATGATCTACAATCTGTTGTCAACTGGAGCAAGGAATGGTTTTCTAATTTTAATGCTTCTAAAGCAAAACAATACTCTTTTAATAATCTGAGAGAACCATTTTTGCTTTCCATCAGCATGGCTGATGCTAACCTCCTGGAGATTAACTCATTGCATCTTCTCAGACTAATGTTTTCTGCTGATATAAAGTGAAAAGCTACTCTGTGCCTTTTCTATAAATGCTTTCATTGTAATTGTTCTGATCTACCTAGACTTTATGAATTTAGTCAAAGAACTAGATTAGTGGCAGTGTCTCATCATTTTGCAGTTGAAAATGCCTAGATGTAACTGTAAGTTTCTTCTCTCACACTTCTCACTTGTGGAACTATTTCAGCTTCTTACTTTCCAGTCAACTTTGATCTTCAAAAATTTATATGCAATGTTATCTGTTATCTTCTTAATTCCTGTTCTTTTATTGTTCTCTCTTTTTAATAGTGTCTTTTTTTCTTCTCATATTCTCTTACTCAGTAACCCCTTATGGATTGGTGGCTTTATTGTCTTGCTTGGGGTGAAATGATTAGAATAATGCACTTATTGCAACAGAACTATTGAACTAAACCAAGCAATATTAAAAGCAAATTTCATCTCAACATTTGAAACAATGAATATTATAATCATTATACACTTATTTGTCCCATCTAGTGAAGAAGGATAGGGGCAGGTACAATATACAAAAATGTGACTTTAACAACCAAGATAAAGATACTAGTCTAAATAAATTAGGGGCAATATGAAATCTATATTTTTGAGTATGCTAAAAGATATGAAATCTCTTGAAGAATTATTTATTTTAGTTTTTGGTTTTGGTCCAATATCCTCATTTGTTGTTATTACCACAACATTTTAGAAATTGTACCTTCCTGCCTTCTTTGGGTATCTATTGATCTGGATAACCTTCAAGGAATTTTGAACTGAACCCTAAAGATTGTTCTCATTTCACTGCCTATAGCTGCACTACCCGGCCCACAGATTGAACCATCTCTAAATTCATAAACCACTACTCTAATCCCTTAGGTCAGCATTTCTCAACCATTTTTTCCTTGGTAACCCTTAAAATAAATTACATATCTCAAGGAACTCTTGTGCAAAAACAAAATTATATACCATATCTTTCTCATTTTATTTTCATTGTAGTTCACGTGGCAAATAACATAGTATATATTTTTGAATAAAAGGTGTAAGGAATAATTAATACTTTTTTGCCAAATTTTTCGGTAATGCTAAATAAAATTCATACTGTTCGTTTATAATACTACACCAGGGAGTTTTCATTCTCACAAAATTTATAAACTTAAACAAAAAATAAACATAAGTAACCAATATCATATACCTTTAATATAAATGTCAACAGAATGAAAACAGACAATCGCTAGATCAGTTTTTTTAATTTTTCTTATCCTTTACTGGCAATTATAGAAAGACATAAGGTAAATCAATGTCCTGTGAACCAATAAATGGGCTAAGAAAATGTTACTTTCAGAGTCATTTGATAAAGTGAAACATGCTTCTCTAATGTGAAGCCTGTGCCCGTCATTTGGTACACAAATACTTAATTCGAGGTTGAACTTTAGATAAACACACACGGATTTCATTCTCACTTGAGATGAGATAATTTCTGTCTTTGCTCTTGATACTTGTTAAATAAGAAAAGGCTTGCTCACAAATGTAAGACATTGAAAACTGCAACAATATATTAATTGCTTTCCTGTGAATAGTAGGAAACTCTTCTTTCAGAGAAATCCAGAACTTGCCCAGAGATAGGTCTGTAAATCTTAAGTTGAGTGTACAATCACACTACAGCTCACAAAGTTCTTCCTTTTCTTTTAATGTCAGATTCTCAGGATGACCAGCAGATTGTTATATTTTTTAATAACGTAATAGGTTAGATAGGATGATGTCTATATTACAATAACCAAGAATATATTGTGTGTGTGTTTAGTAATATTACATTTATGAAATTAAATAAAAAAGTCAAAAGTGCATTAGCTTATCTCACCTTTTGTGGAACCTTAGGGTTCCAAGGAACCCCGGTTGAGAAATGCTGCCTTAGGCTAAGGCAAATGATAATGGAACAGTACTAAATAAGACAAGATATCCCTAGACATATAAAAAAACAACTCATCATCCATAAAATTTAGACATAATAATAATTTAACCTGAAAAAGATTATATTTTGTTATGTTCTTACTATTAAGGTTTCATGAATGAGTCTCTAAATATATTTTTCCAATTATTATTGTTGTCTCTTCTCTCTCAGTGTTGGTCATTTTCCCTTCTGGCTAAGTAAACATCTTGGATCAATTTGCTAGTGTATTATTAAAGACATGGCCACATAGTGTCATGCATGTAAGGCAGAAATCTTTAGATATCTAACTGGCACTGACAACATTTAAAGTTACAAACACTGCAGACAAAATGTATATAAATACACTTAGTAAGATTATGAAAGCTTCTCATATTACAAAAAGTGTATCCCTTCAAAAAAAAAATCCTTATTTTAATCAAGAATATATGAATGACTCCATAATTTCCAAAATACATTTGCTGAGGATAAAGGATCATCTACCAAAATTTATTCATGAAAGTTAAAAAAAATTCTTTGAGAAATAAAATTTCTTTAAAACATGAAAACTCACCTTAATTTTTTCAAAATAATTTGCTTTTTTGCCAATCCATAGGAACATACATTGTGAAATGTCCAGGATGAAAACATCATTGCAGTTCATGCTACTCCAACTCATTGCTTTCTAACCAAACAAAAGAGAAAATGATAAAAATGATTGGGTAGAAAATAGTTTAATGATGTATCATGGCCAATCTAAATTGGAAGATATATAAGCTTTATATATCAAACACATGGTGGGGCTTCTTCTTCTATGTACCATGTCACTTAAGGACGTGGGTGATCATGGTCAACATGTGGATTGGGACTTGTTCCATGATTTCCTTTGTGACATCCATTGAAATGAAGATTTTAATCTTCCTGTTTAAAAATGTGCATCTGAAGTCTCCTTCTGGGTGAAAGCCAGCATTGATGCTTTCATTCCAGCAAGGAAACGCCAAGTTAAATCACACTCATCTCCTTGGTTGCCACTTGCATCCTTGGTTGCTATATTCCACAAGAATCATTTCTTCTGGCTGTGACATATCTGATTTCAACAGATGTCTATTTGTCTCTACTTGTAATGAGTGCAAGCGTGTCATTAAAGAAGCGAAGTTGCTGTTTGCTGATAGAATGAACCAATGTATAGCATTTTACAAGTTTGGTTCTAGAGATTATTGGCAGCTCTGCAAGAGTGTGCTGACAACAACAAAACCTCAGTCCCTCTTCTATACAATCAATTTGAGGTCCTGACATCTACAACTGATATGGTTGAATGCTTTGCTTGGAAATTCTCTTCCAACTCAACACTCTATTCATTTGTAGTACGCATTCCTGATTCCCCCAATAGAACAGAGGTTCTACTGAGTGAGGTACACATTATCCCATTACTGGTCTCAGACATCATTTCTAAATTAGACTCCCATAAGGCAAGTAGAGGCAGTGGGATCCCAGCCAGCATTCTAAAGAAATGTGCTCCCGTCCTGGCTCCAGTTCTCTCCAAACTCTACAACTATTGCCTCATTCTGAATGGGCTTGCTTCCTGATTCTTTTAACACAAATGTGGGTATCTCCCAAGGCTCTATTCTGGGTCCTACGCTGTTTCTAATCTTCATCAATGATCTTCCTGATGTCATCAGTTCCCAAGTAGGCATTTGTTTTGATGATGCTACCATTTACTCCTGTCTCAATAGAAAATCCATCAAAGCTGACAAAGTGAACTTAGCCACCATACTTGAAAAGGACCTCCAATCTGTGGTTAATTGAAGCAGTGAATGGCTTGTAAATTTGAATGCCTCCAAAATGAAACTGCTCTCATTTAACCACCATAGAGAAACTTCCCTGTCCGCCATCAACATGGCTGATGCTAGACTCATGGAGAGCAACACACTATGCCTTCTTGGCTCCACTTTTTCAACTGGCTTGAAGTGGAATGACTACATCGAATCAGTAGCTGCATCTACTGCAAGGAAATTTGGGTCACTGTGTTGTTCCAGAAGGTTTTTCTCGTTAGAGTCCATCTTGCGCATTTACAAATCCACCATTCATCCATGTATTGAATACTGTTGCCATATCTGGTACTCCGAGGTTCATGACAAAATCCAAAGAAGGATCTGCAATTCTGACTTGACATCTCAACTTAAGTCACTTTCTCACTGATGTGACATGGCTTCCTTCTGTCTTTTCTACAAATATATTCATGGCAACTGCTCTAGCTATTTCTCCTGGTGCCCAGGCTACGTGAGTTTAAGTGTGCTACTAGATTGGCATCTAGGTCCCACTCTTTTACTGTTGAATTAGTTAAATGTAACCACCACTTCTCCTCCAACAGTTTCCTTTCTTGCACTTCCTGCCTGTGGAACTCCCTTCTATTTCCTTGCTTCTCTGATAACTACAAACTTCAATAATTTAAATGCAACATTAATTGCCATCATCTATCTTCTTGAACCCTGTTCCACTTTTATCCTTTCCTCAGTCTTTTCTCTCACCTTCACTTTCTGTAACCCCCCCCCCCCACTGCATACCAGTGGCATTCCTGCCTTGCTTGGGGTGAAAAAAAATTCCAATTTTTTGTACTTCTTATCAGTCAAAATAGGAAACCAGAACATCTATATATTTCTGTCATCAAATTAAAGATTATTTATGATTTTACAATAAAATTCTAAAGGTTTAGGTACCAAGAAATCTTTGAACATAGTTTCTGCATCTTTGCAACAGAACGTTTTTGGCTTAAATGTACTTGGTAGTCAGTAGGTGAAAGACCAGGGAAATATGATAGATATGACAAAGTGTTGTATCTCAAGTTGGTGACCTTCTACAGTGTCATCATGACAACATGTGGCCAAGCATTGCTATGAAGCAGAATTTGACCTCATCAATTAATCAGCACTGGCCACATTTTGTTCAACTGAATTTGCATTTTCATCCAGTTGCTGGCAGTAAACTTGATAGTGAGGCTCTAGTTAGAATCCAGAAAGCTGTAATGGATAATGCCAATAGCTGACAGTTACCATAATCTTCTGGACCTCCCATCCTCATGCACACCAAGAAAATCATTTAACCCAACTTGTGGAAATCATGAACTAATTTTAGAGTGCAAATTCTTACTCACAGATCTCTAATGGCTTAAAGGCCAGCTGTTACACCTCAAAGTACTTTGGCAACAAAGTTTATTCAGAAACTTTTTATATGAAGAATTGATTGGTTTTGTTTTCATTTATAGTTTATCAAACCCCTTGTGGATTAATTAAAAACATATTTTTGATTGTAAGAATAATTCTTCTTTTTTTATTTGCTTGTGAATTAACAATTTTTTGAGACTAACAATGATTTTTCCAAATACACATTCTACAATTCAACACGTAGCTGGTTTGGGGTAGTGGCAAATTTGTACCTTTTCTCTTGGTATTTGTGCATAAGTGAATGTAACAAAACCCAGCTTGCTTTGAACTTGGCTCTTCAATTTCTCATTCTAAGTCACAATCCATTACACCACCCACACATACTATAGCAAGGATGCAGGAGACAAAAACATAAGAAAGTTTGCAGAGATGACAATGATTGAAATAATATATAAAATATACTTACTTGGTCGAGTGTAATGTTTCGTTTACCTTTCACATACCACAACTTGTCATCATAGTTTTGCTTGATGGTTGTGAATGTGGAATAGTAACCACCAGATTCATACCTATGGAAATGAAAATAGACACAATTGAGTCTCTCAGAGGAATTATAGCATAATCTAAATAAAAATCAAATGATAAAAAGATAACAGCAAAACTCTCACAAAAGGGAGATAACCAAAAAAAAGAAAGAAAAAAACTGACAAGAGTCATGTGGACACCTTTACCATCAGTTAAGATTTATATGAAAGAGAGGCATTGATTGGCTAGCTTTATATTTATATGAAAGAGAGGCATTGATTGGCTAGCTCAGCTCAATTACTGTATATCTAAAGTATCATGTGCCAGTTCAGCTTTCTCTGCCAAGGTTTTAGTGTATTCAAGTACGTAATGTTTAAAGTAACCTATTAGTATGCGACAAAACCTTAAAGTTAAAAATATTAAAAAAATACTTATGTTATTCATTAGAAAGAAAGAAGATTGCTGAACTGCTATGTAATATAAGTCCTCCCATAGAGGACAATTTTCTTACAGATGAAGAGGAAACTTGAGGCAACAAAGATGTGGTTCTACAGAAGAATGCTGAGAATATCATGGAGCAACAAGGAATTTTTATAGAAAATGGAAACAAAAAGAAAATTTATATTTAGAATCAGAAAAAGGCAGTTGAAATGTCTGGGACTTATGTCTGGAACTTATAATGAGGAAAGATAATGTAGAGATGTAAAGGGTGATTATCTTCCTTTGGGAAAGACAATGTCATATGATGACTGGTGAGTGAGGTCAGTTCATAGTGTTGAGTCAGTTGCTGCTTATTCTATCCTGAGGCTAGACATGTCTGCCTAGGCTGGCTGCTATTTATCATACCTGGAGATATCCACCTATATCAGTTGCTATGTAGCCCATGGAGAAGACAGACAGTAGTAGGCCATAAAGAGAAAACTGACCTACTCTTTTTCCCATTGGGAAATATTACAAATAAGGGCCTCTCTTTTTTTGCTCTTTTCACACAGCTTGTTGTATACATATGTTATAGTTTATCTGTGTGGGAGAAATTAGTAACAAGTATGTATATATTGGTATAAAAATCCCTTTGGGAGCAATATATATTCATCATTCCTTTCCTTCAGATATTGGGTTCCATCTGTTTATTAAAGTGTTACTATATAATGAATATAATAATGCCTATAATGAGGAAATACCAAACTGTAAGTAGTCTTTCTTGCATAGTACAGCCATTAATAGTATTGGAGAATATGAAACATACTAAAGGCAAATGGTGTTAGTTAGACTTACTAGTATATATTCAGCAAGTACTCTCAAATTCCTTCAACTTAAATGAATGTCAGGAGTATTTTTTATTAACCCAGAAGTGCTCATTTTGACTAGGTGGAACAGCTTATATAATAAAGAAAAAGTAGCAGGTGGAATAAGCTTATATAATAAATACAAAAGAAAAAAGTACTCATAATCCTTTTTTAAAAGCAAATCACCCAAGTAAGAGCTAGCATAAAGGCTACAGAGTGTTTGGGAAAAGGAAAAAGAGAAGGACAGGGATCAAGGTCAAGGCATTAGAAGAAATCGATTGACATTACATTTGGATATTTGAAGATTATAGCTATCAGGGAAGCAAGTGATAGGAAGGGAGTTCCACTGACAGGAGGTGCGAGATAAGAAGCTGTTGGAGTAGAAGAGATGGCTACATTTAGCCGTTTAGATAGTGAAAGGGTGGGACTGAGACACCAACCTAGTAGCATGCAGCTTAGGAAGCAGTGAAAGTAGCTCGTTGGAGCAGTTGCCATGAAAGTTCTTGTAGAAAAGACGGAAGCCACAGCATGTCTGTGAGATAGCGACTGCAGATGGGATGCCAGATCAGGACCAAGCATGTTGCAATTCCGTCTCTGGATTTTGTCAAGGACCTCGAGATGAACAGCGGGAACACCAGACCATGTATGGTAGCAGTATTCCATGCAAGGATGAATGGTTGATTTGTAGATTTGAAGGATGGACTCAGGTGGCGTAACACAGAGAACGAACTTTCCTTGTGGTAGATAAAGCTATAGATTCAATGTATTTGTTTTACTTCAGGTCAGTGGTCAGCGTCAGATCAAGCAGGTGCAGAGAGACGCTCTCATAGAGTTGGGGATCAACCATCCTGATGGGAGGAAGGGAAGGTTCTCTATGGTGGGTAACTGAAAGCATAAGGCTTATGTCCTTCGTTGATCTTTGACTTCTAATTATTCTTTGCTATAAAAATTGGTCCATCCCAAAAAAGGATTCTAATTCTTTTTCAGTTCAGAGAGGTGTAGATGAGGTGTATGCAAATGAGGCACTGTTATAAAGCAGTATGTTACAGCATAATGCCAGTTGAGCTATCATCTGTTGACCTGATGTCTATTCCAGAGAGTACTTTACATCATAACAGTTACAAAGAATAGGAAGTTGTGGAGAGCTATGATTGTCTATGTCATGAAGGGACATGGCACATAGTAGATAAAGAATATTACATATTAAAAAAAAATACATGCGTTATGTTTGGAATAAGAAAGACATTTATATGGCTATGTCATATTGAAAGCATCAGTTTTCATCTGATCCTTAGTGTTAAGCTGGTTACTACTTTAATGCATGAATGCTTAGGAACACCAGGTACTTAAGTTACCTGAGGCTATATGCTAAAATAAGCAAGGATCGATTTATGCAATTATATTATCCTAATCAATAGGGTAAGGGAGGTAAGCATGAAAATATTTTGAATAAATTTGGGCCTTCATGCCTGCAAAAATATGGAGTGTCAAAAGGACCATTTTTTCCATTGACAATGCTATTATTCAAACTACCTTTTATCCTCATCAATATTTGTTTTTAAAAGTGATGATTAGTATTTTAATAAAGACTAGACATATGATAAAGATGAATTTATACACTTTTTGTTCTTGAGAATTTACAACAAAAAAATTAAATACTATTTATTTACAAGAATAATTTTATATTTAAAACATTCTAAAAACTAATACAATTAAAACTAATGTAATGCAATATTTATCATTTACTAATTAAGAAATAGGAAAACAATTTTTTATTCATAAATTTATAATAATTTAGTAAATTATTAAAATATGTGAACTAACTATAAGAAAATCCTTATTTACCAGTTTATAATATTTGAATCAATTAGTAATTAGCTGATATTTTGCCAACCATTTCAATAAACAATCTAATAAATAAATAGTGTTTATTATTTTTGTTGTAAATTCTCAAAAACAAAGAAAATATATAAATTTTTATAATTGTATATAAAATAAGGTTTTATTACAATTCTAATCATCACTTTTTAAAACAATGAACATTGCCAAGAAGTGAAAATAGTTAAAATGGCAGCTGTGTCAATGGAAAAACCATCCTTTTGACACTGTTTTTTTTTTGCAGTCATGAAGGTTCAAGTTTTCCATTATTTAATTCTTTGGCTGACTTTTAACAATATTTTCAATTGTTAGAATTAAAATGTTTTTTGTGTTTCTTTTTTTGGTTGAGATTATTATTATTTTTTTTAATTCAGTCTTTTTTTATACATGATTCCAAATAGATACATTCTTGTCCAAGTAAAATGCATTCCCTGACATAATTGAGCAAAAGCCTTACATGATTCTTGGGAAATAACTGAGGAATACTTTAGATTCATATCCTTCAATCTCTCGGAACTGTACAGACTGGCCATCAAAGTAGTCATCCAGTTCCACAGCTTTCATGGCAGCCATTCCAGCCTCATCCTGAAATGAAGAAAAATCCCTGTTTAAATTACTGTGGAGTGTTTATGAACAAAAGCATTAATAAATCTATATAAATTAAAATTTGGTAAAATGAACAAATTATTATACAGATTCAAAATATAGCAGACACATTATTAAAACATATTTGATAAATTAATCAGTTTCAGACAAAATAAAAACATATCTTTATTGAAAATTAGCAATAAGATACAATATATCTACTGAATGTATACCAACTTACAATGTAATTTAATTCATAATTTATGGAGAAAGATAAAAAATTACATAGTATTTAAAACCCATATTAAATACTTAATCTGTAACATTTCATCTTTTAAACATGTATAGTTATTAAGTTATTAGAAATTTTATTCTCTTCATATAACATGTAGTAGAACAGAGTCTAGCATTTTCTGTTACATATTTATGTGCATTTATGTGTCTAATACTATGTCTGCATGCCAGATATAAATAATAGCTAATGTATCATGTAGTCAGTCTGAGTAAGTGTCAGAGTCAAAATAGTAAGAATAGTCATTAAATAAATCTTTCTGTGTCTAGTTTATTTCCTGTTGTATGAAAAATATCTTCATAGAAGAAATTTGACTAAAAAAAAGAAACATTTTTTGTAAAATACCCCCAACCATTTCTGCAAAATAAAAATTTTGAATTTAGATTTTATCAGCTTTCTTTTCCTTTTTTTTTTTCTTTGTGGATGAGTGGAATATTTTTACAAGACCAAATTTTCACCTAATCAACCTTTCATAAAATTTTTCCCAAATTATATCATTCAAAAGAAAAGTGAAAACAAAATCTAATTTAAATCTGTAGAATTTTATTTCCAGTAAATACAATAAACAAGACAGTTTAAAAAAATCTCTAACCTCAAAATTATCAGCAAAATTTCATAATTTAGAAAAAGGAGTAAAGGAATTAAATCATGTACTTCAAAATTTTTTAATATTAAAATTTGTCATGTGATAAATACTCCAAATAAAGATGTATGACAGTTGTAGTGGTTGCCGAGAGGATCAATATATGAGATCCCAGGCTTACAGATTTTGCTACTTGGTAGTAGTATAGTAGCAGGAGTAATAAGGTTAAAATTAGGAGAATAATTCTTAATGTTCTGTAAAAATATAAAAATAGACATTTATCACATATATACATACATGAGTTTGCTGTAATTTCTGTGATTCTGCTACCATGTGACCCCTTACGAGTAAGGAAAGTACAATGTGTTTTTTAGCTACTGATATGGTTGAAAAAGCAATACATTTTCAAAATAAAAGGATAACATCAGTATGAAGTATGGCTCTTTTTCATTGAGACCAGTGGTCAGTTACAACAGTGGTAGACTGGGCCTAAAAATATTGGTTGGCAAAACCCTGACGATCTGAGTAGGTGAAACCTAGGTAGGTTTGTCTGGCTCTTTAGGTTTACTTAGTTTGCTCTACTTAGTGTATTGAGCACTTTGCTTAGTTATTTTTACTTTACTCGTGTCAGAGCTTTTTTCTTTGGACTCTGAACTTAGATTCTAGATGATTTTTTTTGCAGGAAGTACATCTTCTTAGTTCTTTCTTTTTTTCCCCCTTTTTTTTCCCTTGGGTATTAGTTTGTTTATTTACAAGCTAAAATACCTATGGTTTTGCCGCATGAGTATAGCTGCTTATATTTATAAGATTATTAGTATTATATATATATATATATATATATATATATATATATATATATGCAAATAATTTCAGATAGAGTGTATCTGTAGAAGAGACAAAATGAATCAAAAGAGACAAGAGGAAAAACTATTCTCAGCTGATATGTTTCGTTCTCTGAGGGACTTTATCAAGTCAATGTAAGATTTATTATGCTGCACATGTTTGTATTTAGGGGTGATGAATGTCATCAAAAAAGAAGGAAAATTCTTATGAGTGCTGCTATCAAATATTATCAAAATATAAATCTACACCCTGGTTTTTTCCCAATTTCACCTTTCCTGAAAGAATTACTACTTTCCAAGCCAATATATACAGCAACAAATATGTTGAAAAATAAGAAGAAAATGGTTAAATCCATCACTTCAGTCTTTGAAGATGTACAGCAGCACAGATGTCCATCTTATACCATAACAATCTAATCACAATCCAAAGAATATTCATTTAAAAAAAAAATTGAAAATTTCTTACTTACTTTACTTTTTACCAGACTCTGAATTATGACATTTTGGGTCCTCCACATGTTTTGACTGACCTTTCAGCCACCTGATAAACATTCATAAATGCTATCAAATTTGATAAACCAATGACATCCATCACTTCTGTATATAAACACGTGCAGCATTAAATGTTAAAATTATTAAAAGAAAAAGCCAGCACTTAATACTATTAACTATGAACATGGCCACAATGTGCTAACTGTGTTCAGAAAATAAAACATTTCTCTAACACTAAAAACATACACAAAACCCACACACCCAATTAAACTGAAAAAATAAAATCATCCTTGATAATAGCTAAAAGTATTGCTGAAAGCACTTGGAATTATAGAACATTTTGACAGTTTCTACACACTCTGTGTCCAAAAAAGAAAACACTTGTTCAAACACAAGAAAGATTAAATAAAAAGCTTAATCATAGTACCTTTAATGAAATATGTATAAATGAAGGATTGCTGCCTAAATATACGATACATACATACATACATACATATATATATATATATATATATATATATATATATATATATATATATATAGATAGTTAAACCTACAGAGCCAGATAAACCTACCAAGGTTTCACCTAAGCGGATCATTAGGGAATGGCACAGGGAGTGATGTTACCTTGATCCCAAGGAATTTCTGGGGAAACATGGGTAAATCCAAAATAAGGAAAAATAACCTTAATTTAAAACAGTTTGATGGATCTGTCATCAAAACTCTAGGCTTCTTTGAAGGAACTTTCAAAGCAAAAAACTGTTTTGAGCCAGCATTCCCTGATGATCTGCTTAGGTGAAACCTTGGTAGGTTTGTCTGGCTCTCTAGGTTTCACTAGGTCTGCTCTACTCATTGTATTGAGCACTTTATTTATTTATTTTGGGTACTCTCATCGGGGTTTTTTTCTTTGGGCATTGAACTTGTATGCTGGACAATTATTTTTGGTTAACATATATGTTTTTGCTTCTTTGTTTTTTTGTACCTTTTTTTCCCTTTGGTATTGGCTTGTTTATTTGCGAATCAACACACTGAAGGTTTTCCGAGCGAGTATAGTTTCTTATACTTATAAGATTTCTATTAATAATAATAATAATAATAATAATAATAATATATATATATATATATACACACACACATACATTATGCTAAAGTACATTATGTATGTAGATAAATTTGTTGTTTATTATATGTTGACATAACTTGTTTTTTCTGGGTGTTTTTTCAAACTTAGGGCATATATGTCAAGCATGCAAAAGTGTTTCTCTGAGTGGATTGATTCTGTTATGCAAACACAGAAAAAGACTTCAAAAACATGTTAACCACAGGAAAAAAGAAAAGAAAAATTTCCAAAACCATAAATTATGGAATGTATGGTCTACTATAGATTGTAGTAACTCACAAGGTTCTCTCAACAGGTGCTGGCAGCAACATGTCTGCTTCTTCAAGTGAATCATTAAATACACTTCAAGCTGACGAATACTCATCAGCTAATGGTTCTATAAGGATTGCACTTCTCACATTGCAAATGTCCATCTACATGTGAAGCCCACAAAGTGATAGGATTGTTTAGTTTCAGGAAATTCTTTGTAAAAAGCTAGTGATGTTATTTTAATAAAAACTTGGTAACCATCTCACTAAACTCCAAATGTGGGAAACCTAAGCACCTTTATATAATTTTTCTTGAAACCAGGACCTGGTGTTTTGTAAATAGGTACATGTAGTGGAATAATTTACCAACCTGTGTTGTTTCTGATCCAATCCAGAAATGTATATGTCTGTGCATATGCCGTCCCTCTGCTTTGATCTAGGAAAAGTAAACAAATAACAAAATGCAATGGACAAAATAAAAATATAGATAAAAAATTCATGAAGAATTTCTTAGTCTCATTACTATTTCGTCTTTATTAAAGTCTTTTAATAAATTTTTTGCATTTCTACAAGCAAATGGAAAAAAGAAATCTAGTACTGAATTGTTTTTTATTTAAGAGAAGAAGGCATATAAAATATACAAGTTTCCCACGGGAACATTTACAACAAACAAATACAAAAATATTGCTTCAAATTTAAGAAAACTTTTATTAAAATTCATTAAAAATTATTCAGTAAGATTTTTGGACAATTGAATTCATTATTTTTTTAGTTATTTGTGTTGTTCTCATAATGTTTTGGTGAATCAATTCTATGGAGTTATTCAGGTATAATGTCTATATGAAAAGACATGTTTCTTTTTTATGGTAATGCAAAATAAAAAAAAAATAGTAGCAAACAGAAAATTTGACTATAGCATCAACACTTGTTAAATAAGTTATTCTACACACTGCCATGAAAAATCTCTTTCCATATACATGAAGAACATTGTAGAAAGGATTAACCAAGAACTGCATGTACAATAGTTATTGCAGATGTGGCAAAGAGTATATATATATATATATATAAATATATAATTATTTTTTATAAAAAATTATAACATAAGTATGTTATAAGATCACTACAAAAATAGCCATTTTGTTTCAACACATTCTGTGTCTTCTCAAGTGATGATGTTGAAAATAAAATAATATATATATATAGTAAAGATTAGATATTAGATACTACCAAAAAATAGGATTTATGGAACACTAAAAAATGTAATCCACGGAGATACTTTAACATCTTGGATGTCTGATCCTGCATGGAGGGAGAAAAAGATGCACCTGAACCTTTATAGAATGAAATTAATAGATGAGGAGCAGCATTAAAAAAAGATAGAAATAATTTGTATACCTACAAATTAGCACAGAAAAGTTCTCAGCCTAACTAAAAGATTTTAAAACATTCTGATGTTTGTTCATTTGGTCATATTCTGGGAAGTGAGTCAGTCAAGGAAATTTTCAGCACCTCCTCAAACTGTGCTCAGATGACTTGATCAGTAGATTGAATATAGATATTAATAGTTTGTGTGAATTATCATAACCATTAATCTGGTGGCAGAGGAATGGATGAATTAAAGGTTTCAAAAGAAACAAGCTCCTGAGGAATGGGACTGTTGGCAAAGTTCAGTGAGTTCATTGGATAGTGACAGAGTGCAAAGGTCAGGAGAAGACAATTCTACAAATTTCTAAGTCCAAACACCAAGTATAAGAGGAGAAAAGTGCATGTAAACTCATAGCAAGATTTAACATTCTGGAACACAGAAGACCTCTGAAACAACAAATATGAAGAAATTAGTCCCAACAATATTTCCTCACTTATGATCTTTTATTTTGTAATAATGGGAAAATTCTATACGTAAAGTGATCTACAATGATAATATTGTTGGATTATATCATCTTTTTCATCCACATAAAGATGTATCCTACCTATCCTCCTAATTTGCACTTCTTATTTTCTCTTCTTAAGTTCATAAAACAACTTCATTCAGAAATCTTCTACATTAAGTGGCTCTTGGGTCTTTTATTAGGTGGAAATTAGAGTAAAAAAGGAGTTTAATTATTTGGATGGTTAGGCCTGTAAACTCTTTTGATGTACTATATTTATTATCATCTATTTACATCATTTGGACTGTTGTCTGCATCCTTATTGCCATATTCACAACATTTTGGTTGTTGTACAATCCACCATTCTTCATGGCCTAGTAGATAAAAGTTGGTTGAGTGATCCAAAAAGTGACTTGACCCAAAGAGGTGTGAGTTCAATACTTGGCCAGAGCAGACAAAAACTTGGAGAGTTGAGTTACTAAAGGGAATTAACTGAAACTGAGATATCCAAAAAAAAAAAAAAAACAGTATGGCATGTGGAAATAGAAAAATCTACACCTGTGGATCTAAATAAATGGTTTGGTTCAACATTTCAATTTATATCATCTGAAGAAGGCTGGAGCATACAGCAGCCAAAATGTTGTGAACATGCCAATAAAAATGAGTACAATAGTCTGAATGATTTAAATACTGTAAATAGTTACAGTACCTCATTTCAGAAATATAGACAGATCATTATCATTTTATCAGGCTTTTCTGACTCCCTCTCATGTCCTATTTCACAGATATTAATGACATTGTGGTTTTGACAAGGCATAGTCAACATACTCAGCATATTTAGCTTACAGGTTGGCAAGAAGTTTCCATTGAGCATCTTCTCATAGCTGAGTGTGATCCTGCACTATGTTTCTACAGGTTTTTTCATTCAAGAAAACTTAATAAAGAAAATGTACCCTCCAACATGACTCAAAATTGTGTCCCCACTTTATTGTAGGAACTACAATTTTATCTGGTATGCTTTAAACCACTCAGCTATGGGGAGCTTCACAGTTAAGCAAGGATCTTTTAGCCTTAACAAAACATCATCTTGTTCAAATTTTTCTTGGTAGGCCATATCTGCTCAGTTTAATATTTGAAATGTAAACAAAATCTAAATGAGGGGATTTTGTATTAAGGCAAATTGAACTTTACTTAGCTATGAGGATCTCCATAGCCAAGCGGTATAAGGCACTTCAGATCAGATGGTGATTCCTCCTATAAAGGGGGATACAAGTTCAAATCCTGCTGGAGGGCACAATTTCTCTATTAAGTTTACTCAAATATGACGGCTGGTAGATAAAATATACTCTTTAAAAATGGTGTGATATACTCAAATATAGCCATTCACTAAAATTTTTTGAAGCAATAGACATATTTCTTAAATATAACTGTGACTTTTTTTACAATAATGTCCACCCTGTGCAAGGCTTGAAGGTCACTTAAGGTAGAGGATTATTGAGTAAGAGCCAAAGCTAATGTGGATATATGTGGAAGATGACAATTAACCCTAGACATGAACAGATTAAGATTCTAGTGATTGGGGAAGCATCCTCTTGTGAATTGGTTCCACAAAGCAGTTTGTAGGAAGAAGATGCTTGAGTAGAACTTACATCCCATTAAAGGAATACAAAGGGAATGAGGGGATTTGTTATAATGTGCATGGTATAGCAGGTTTTAGCCATGAAGGTAAGGACTGTGTAGTTCATCTGAACACTTTCCATGGAAATAGTGAGAGGCAGTGAGTGGCTTGCAATGTCTTTATGAGAAACTAAGACTGTGCACATGGCTGTAGTTTTGAATGTTAGTTCTAAAGCTGTAGTTCTCACTGTGGGTTGCATGCCGATTTTTATGGGGGTGCAATTTGAGAATGAGTTATGAACAGTGAATTTTTTTTCAAGTAAGTCTGTGTGAGTATAAGTGTGAGTGTGTGTGTGTGTGTGCATGCAAGTTAATACATACAGTGCATACATAAAAATATTTGTGTGTATGTATGTACATGTGTAATTACATATGTACTGTATTATAATATATATATATATATATATTATTTTTTAACAATTCCATCCTTAGTACTTCAATTGTCCTTTTATTCTTTATTTTTCTCTTTCATGGATGCCATGCTCTTTGGAAGCCTGTTTAGACAAAGTTAATGGCCTTTTAGGCTTCTTCCAGATGAAGAGTAATTCACTTTTTGAATAATAAGAATTATATGTCATATGAGGGACATCAGGATTTTAGAGATGCTTAGGTGGGTGCCTGGACAAAAAAAATGTTGGGAAATTCTAGAGATCAACAATTTAATTCTCAGCATAATGCATAACAAGTTTTAATACAACATTTACCTTCAATGCAAAGAGAATTTATACAACTCATTTCAAAGTAACCAGTTATAGGCAAATCCTATTGTGAACATGAATCCTTTACAATAAAAAGTTTTGGATGCAAAATGGACATTTCTAAGTAGCAATGTTATGAAGTTACGCCCTTATATTTTTTAAGATATTGTGAATTCTAACAGATTGACATCAGTGAATGAAAAATTAAACAAAACTGCACAACAAATTTGAAGACTGAAATGGATATCTTTAATTCAATTTCAGATGCTGGTTATGTGAGAAATTAAAAAGAAAGAAGAAATTGATAGCATTGCATCAGATAAAAAAGCCTGATGAATACATTTTTATCTTGCCTATTGAGAATCCATTTATATTTCTGTGTGTTAAAAGAACAAAGAATGTAATAGAACTACTTTAACTTTATGTGCAGATAAAGTAATAAAGTCATTAATTATGTTTAAGAATCCAGTGAGCTAAAAACTGAATTAGAAAATAAACTTAATACATTTAATGTTGAACTGCTACCAATGGTGATATTTATTGGAAGGACAGAAATTTTTGTTTGGTTAATAAAATAAAAACCAAAAAACATTCTTTTCTTTTCAACATTATATAAAAAATATAATATGAAAATATAAAAACAAATATAAAATATAAATCAAATACAAAATAAATAAAACAAAAAAACATTCTTTTCTCTTCAACCTTGTTGAACAATTTATTTACTGCTTTATTCCACTATCTTCTGCCATATTTCAATTAACTTTATAATTTCATCCTTCCAGGAAAGAACTGCTCAAAGTGCCTTTGCAGTCTTTCTGCAAATTAAGTTCTTTTTATTCAATGTGAATTATATAAATACTGAAATAATTGTGATGTAATGGAATAACCAGTCACCCCCATGAATGATTATACTATAGGTAGTAAGTACCTATAAAGTCAACTGAAGAGTGATAGAGAGAGATGACGCAAGCATGTCTGACCTTCCAATTAGTGGCACTCACTACTAGATACTTGACCTGTGTATATAACTGTACTGTATTTCATATTGTACTAGTTGTGTACAATAAACCTTTCTTCTATTATCCACTTGCTGTTTATTCCCTTAAATCAGAATATAACAAATTAGTAATGCAAATATGTAATTTTTGGTGAAATCAAAAGATGAATGAAAACTTACCAACCAAGTTGTA